GAAGCGCCTCTGCCTTGGACGCCACGGCCTTTCCGAAGAGAGTGGGTGGATGATCAGACTGGGCATAAAGCAGCTTTACGGCAGGGTGCCGAGCCTTTTTCAGCCCAAGGGCCACATTCCATATTTAAGAGTGTGGGGCAGGGACTCAGGCGATCCGGGTTCTAATCCCCTCTCAGCCATGGAGCCAACTGGGTGACTTTGGTCCAGTCCCAGACTCTCAGACCAACCTACCTCCCAGGGTTCTTGTTGTGGGGTTAAGACTGAGAGCAGCAGGAGGAGAATGATGTAAACCATGCTGAATTCTTTAAAAAGAAAAAAGACGGGATATACATCTAATAAATAAATAAATATACGTGTGTGTATGCTCAGGTAGAAAGGCTTTCATGACAGCCACCATAGACAAGCCTGTAAGGATAGCAGAAAATTGTACCGAGCTGACTGTGCATGCTTGGGAAAGCTCTCAATGACATATTCTAACTGGGAAAACACATTCCCCTTCAGCTACGGTGAAGCCTAGCTAATTCATGCACTCTGTGTGTGCTCAGAGATACCCCTCACCCTGTCTCAAATGCAAGCCAGTAGCCTTTGTACTGGTGCCCCCACACCCCAAGCTTCCATTCCTGGAAACCAAACATTGTCGAGTGAGATGAATCTTTAGATGGGGTATTTAATTCATCATTTATGCAGAGCTGGCCCATTCCAATCAATATCATTTGTCATATCTTAAATGGCATAGATCCATTAAATCAACCTGGATTTGTCATGCCTTACCTATGGAAGATCAGGGTGCCCTGTTCACCATTTATCTAGAGCCTTAACTAGAGTAGACCAATTGGATACAGTTAGTTCAATCATGCATTTCAACAGATCTACTCAGTGGAAGCACAGCGGCTGCCTGTCCGGGTCAGTCAGGCGGGTTCAGTCAGGGTTCTGCCTTCCCAACCCGGTGCCCCGCTCCAGTCGTGCTAGACTACCCTGCCCAGCATCCATGACCCGTAGCGTGCTGATGAAGAAGTGATGGGAGCTGTAGTCCAACACAGCCGGAGGGTGCCTCGTCGGGGAACGCCGCCTCAAGTCCTCCCGGACCCTCCCCCTCCCCACCCCGCAGCCCCCTCCTCGCACTCCGCACATGCTCAGGCGCCAGCGGCGCGGCGCGGCACGGCCCCCTGGGCACTCACCGGTGTAGAAGGCCAGCACGGCCACGGGCGCGCCCAGCGCCTGGTCGCACAGCACCTTGGCCAGCACGGCGGCGGGCGCCCGGCCCGGCAGGAGGCGCTCCAGCGCGCGCAGCCACGCGTAGTTGAAGGGGCCGTGGAAGGCGAGCGCCACCAGCGCCACGCGCCGCGTCTGCGCCCAGTCGGCGCCCGCCTGCCCCGCGCGCCGCCGCAGCCCGGGCCCGAGGCCGAGGCCGAGGCCGAGGCCGAGCTGCTGCTGCGCCGCGTCGCCGGCCGCGAAGAGCGCCGCGTAGAGGGCCACGTTGCAGAGCCCGGGCGAGCGGCGCAGCGCGCGGACCAGCCGGCGCGCCATGGCCCGGCAGCGCATGGCAGCGCAGCGCATGGCGCCCCGCCTCTCGCGCGCCCGGGGACCCGCCCCGCGCCGGCCCCTCGCGCTCTCCGGCAGCAGCGGCGGCAGCAGCAGCGGCCCGGGCGCCTCTCCCGCGCCTTCGCGGGAGAGCGGGGCCCTTGCCCGCCCCGGCAGCCTGGACGAGGGGAGCCGCGTCCGCGCATCCTCGCGCCTCGAGGGGACCCACCGAGAGCGAGCGCGGCGATCGCTTACCTGCCCTTCGCCCCCGCAGAACAAATGCGTCGGCCAAACCCTCGTCTTCGTTGCATTTGCAGGGCCTTCTTTGTATGCAAAGCGGCAACGTTAGAGCACAATTTTACAGACGCTTAGGCAGAAAAAAAGGCCATCGCGGCATACTCCAGCCATCAGGTGGACGCTTTTGGCTTCGACCACACAAAGGCCACAAGACTCCAGATTGTAAAGCGCATCGCAGCGTGGCAGTAGGTCCCAGCCTGGGACCTCTGAAGGGTGTGTTCGATTCCATAACCAATGAGCTTGGGGGGTTCTCAAAAGAGCGTGGTTGCTTTTACAGATTCCTTCGTGAAGGATCTTGTTCCGTCCAACTCCTCTGCATTAAGCTGTCTTTTGGCCCACACTTGCTTCACCTCCAGTTGCTTTTTCTGGGTTTTTTTTTCTTCCAGAAATCCTCCCTTTTTAGAAACTAGTGTCCTTAGGAGACAGAGACCTTCAAAGGCACACATATGCAGGCAGAATTGAATGCATCTGTACATTGCTGTTGTTACCTGCCATCAAGTCATCTCCAGTTCTATGGAGATGCTGTGAATAAGCCCCCTCTAAAAGGCCCCAACCTGGACACCCCTGTTCAGCTCTTGTCGATTCAGTGCTGGGGTTCCTTTATTGAATGGATCCATCTCATAGCTGGTCTTCCTTCAGCAGTCAACTTTCCCTAACATGATTGCCTTCTGCAGGGAATTTCACCTCCTCATGATGTGCCCAAAATGCGACAACCAGTTTCACCATTTTCGCTTGCTGTTCAAGCTCTGGCTTGATTTGATCAGGAACCAACTGTTTGTTGGTCCAGAGTATTCAAAAATACCATGTTTTGAACGCATCAGTTTTCTTCCCGTCAGCCTTCCTGTCCAAACCTCACACGCATACATAGTGACCAAGAACACAATGATTTTGGATGGATGGAAGAACTTGGCCTTGGTCTCCAGTGAAACATCATCACATTTGCTCTTTTTCACATTTGCTCTTTTACAGCTGCCCTTCCAAGCCTCAGTGTTCTTTGAATATTTTGGCTGCAGTCTCCTTTTGAACTGATGACTGAGCAACAGCATGTAAATCTTCCACAATCCCAGTTCTTCATTGTTGACCTTAAAGTTGTGTCTTTCTACAATCATGATTTTGGCTTTCTTTTCATTCATTTGTAAGAAGCCTTTTGCACTTTCTTCTTTCCTGTTTATCAGATGCTATTTCAATGTGTTGCCGTTTTCTGCTAGCAATGTGCTACCATCTGTATATCTTAGACTGGTGCTTTCTGTGCTAGGTGGGCCTGAGCCCCAGGCTTTTTCAGCACCACCTCTGCAGCTAGTCACCCCTTCATGACTGTACGACATGAAATGCATTGATTTGGCCACATGCGCTGCACTGTTCTGGGCACTGCACTTTAAGGAGGGCCTTGTCAAACTAGAACTTATCCAGAATGTAACTAGAATGGCGAGGGAAGGGTCCAGAAACCAAGACCCCCCCCTTCAGCATCGCCACACTAAAACTCATACCTGCTGGAATTACCACCCCTGAAATTGCTCTGGCAATGGCAGCAGCTAAAAGGGGACAATTTTACAAAAACAAACAAAAAAACCCAGACACATAGTGAACATGTGCCGTCTTCACAAGTAGAACAGCATTACTGGGATGCTTATTTCTTTGCTTTTTTCCCCCTGCCACTTCACCTACAAGAATTTCAGTGTGGGGGAGGGGGGGCTGCAAAATCCCCAGGATTCATGAATGTCTTTGGCAGCCCCACTTCTATGTGGAAAGGCTGAAAGAGCTGGCTGTGTTTTTGCCTGGCCTCAGGGCAGATGAAAAGGTGACGTACTGAGAGCAGAGTTCACATATCTGAAAGACCCTCTGGCAAAAGTTAGAGGGAATTTGTTCTCTGTTGCTTCAAAGAACAGGACTAGAAGAAATAGATGGAAATGCAAGGAAGATTTCAGCTGGAGATCCAGTGATGGGAGAGCCGGAAGAAGTGAACTGGTGGGACTTGTCTTTGTCGAGCCCCAAGACCCTGCTTGGGATCCACACGTCTCTGCCATAGGTCTTTCCCCAGGCTTTGCTATTTGAGGGCCCTCTCGTGTGCTATGAGATCTTCACCAGCCAAGCTGAATGACTTTCCCCTTTCCCTCTCCATCCCATTTTTGTTTGTGCTGTTATCTTTTTAGAGAGAAAGCCTGTATGCAGGCGTTGTCTTTTTACTGAATTCGTGCCAGTCTCTCTTTCACAAAAAACGCTTCTTAGGATGCAACTCTGTGCATGTTTAGACAGAAACATTTTTTAATAAAGGAAAATATAGAATCTAGGAATAGAGTTCAAAAACAAAGAGATATAGGTGCTTTTTCTTTTGTAAATACACTATCTGTTTATATCCTTACAGCAATACTTGCGGAAACGGCAGCTGCAGGGTTGTTTCTTTTTGACGTGTATACAATGTACACACACTATGATCTACATGGTATGGCCTAGTGATGGCAGCTGCGAGGACGAAATCTTTAGGCGTGCGTCCTATCCATGTTTACTCAGCAGTAGGTCCCTCGGTGATGAATGGGACCGCCTCCCAGGTAAGCGTGGCTAGGCTTGTAGGCAAAGAATGTATCGTTGCGCACATACTAACGTCCTCTTGTGTTTAATGCAAGCCAAGTGGTGAGAGGACTTTTTCCTGTGTAAAAGAAAATATAAACTTGCGCTTAAAAAATCAATCAATCAATCAATCAATCAATCAATCAATCAATCAAAAGCTCTGCTTTTGCTATAGCGCCCACAGGTACTACACTGCCGAAAGTGGGACTCGAACTCGCAGCCACCATCCTTTCCGTAGGACGCCAGCGGTTCTCGCCGTGTCATCGCGCAACACGCAGGCGCAGCTTGCATAATGTCGTCATCCGCTTCGTCGAAACACCTTGCGGAATGTTCCATTGTGAATTAGGATGGGGAGAACAAAGAGGGAAAGTAGCTATGGAAAAGCGAAGGCAGCGCCACAACTCTCGCTGAACCCTCTTCCCTCACGGATGGCTCTCGGCTTTTAGGCTTTGTGTGGCTAGCCGACCCCTCTTCTCCCCGAGTTTCTTTTTGAGCGGGTGGTACATTCCTGCACTCGCGCCACAACCCGGTTGCCTGCGGCGCTCTTGCGCCCTCTGTCCACCAGCGGAGTTACGGAAGCCTGTGAGGCTCGCGATCGCTCGCGCGTCTCCTAGGTGAGCGCGTAACTTCCCACCCGGCCCGGCCGCTCCTCCCCTCGGCTGCCGCCTGGCAGTTCGTCAGGGGTGCCAACGTGGAGCCGGCCGAGGCCGAAGCGAAGGCGGAAGTGCTCCGAGGGGAAGAGGAGGAGGCAGGCAGCCGTTATCCCCCGCAGCTGAGGAACCTGCGGCCATGGAGGGCTCCTTGGAGAAGGTTGGCTGTGGCTCAGGGTGCCTCCGGCGGGGGAAGGGGGAGGGGTGTCGGGGGGGTCGTGTCTGGGGGGAGAGGGGAGGGGAGGGGAGGGGCGGGGTGCTGCCTCCCATTGTGCCAGGATGCGGGAGGGGAAGGGAGGAAGTGACAGGGAATGTTCATTATTCCAAAGGAGGCTTCGGCACCAGCGATGCAAAATGTGTGTTTGTGCAAGATACATGCATGTTTATGTGGTCAGATAGGAAGCTAAAGATGTGTTCGTACATGTTTATTATTAAGGCGGTATGAAATAGTATATTGGCATTGATTATGAGATTAGTTCGTGCGTATGTAATGGGTATGGTTATTTTGTTAAACATGGAAATAATGTTATTAGGTATTATTTTTCATCAAGGTTGGAGTATATGTACACTGGTTTATGGAATTAATGTTTGTCTGTGGAATATTCATGCTTATTCTGTTTAATCAAAGGTGATTTTTTATTATTAGTTACTGTTTGGATACTTTGGATACTACAGTATAAAATAATACATGATGATGAGATGAGTGTGTGTATTTTGCATATTAAATGGGTTGGTCAAGAGGATAGCATTTTTATTACATGTTTGTTATTATATGTAATAATAGGCATGGGTCATAACCTTATTGTGCATCAGTGTAATATGCATGCTAATTTTGTTAAATAATAATACTGGCTATGGAATTGTATATAATGTGCATGTTAATTTGTTAAATAAAAAGATAATGTTATTACATATCTACTATTATTAAAGTATATAATGATATATGCATTGATTATAAAATTGCCTTGTGTATGTGTGTGTGACTGTGATATGTATGATAATTCATCAAATAGGAAGATAATATTTGATTACATGATAATTATTGTATGTTATATATCAGCCCTGATAAGATTATTGTATTATACCAATCTTATTAACTGTGCTCAAGAAACCCAATAATTATTGGGCGCTGCTAATAAGATCTGTCTTAGGGTAGTGGTGGAATCTGAAGAATATAGCTCAAATAATAGAATAGGACCAGGTACTTGTAAATGGTAATGACATTAACTTCTGCATTTAATATATTTGGGGGTGGTTTTATATCAGAGTTGGGGAGAAACATTCCTGAAAGCTGAACATTACATAAATTTATTTATCCAGGTTTATGTTTACGCACATTCATCCACGCATGCATATCTCTTTCTCTCTCTGTATACATGTATATATGGTTACTCTGATAAACAGGCGAGCAGTAATCAGTTTGGGCCACTCTGAATAAGATTTTTGTTCTTAGGGTTGCGTTTAAATAGTATGCTTATTTGTTGTTTCAACCTATGGTGGAGGTAGAGACATAAAAGAGCAGCTCCTTCTTGAAAATGTTCAGCATAGATATTCAATGTATATTTTGGGGCATCCCCAAAAGGGGAAATCAAAATATCACTCTCTTTTGTGCTGCACATTCTTTGATATAAATTTAACTGTTACAATATATATCCCTCTTTCTTGTCCAATAGGAAATGTAAGCAATTATTAAGAACAACAGCAGCGGCAGCAAAACATTGCAAAAGCAGTCTAAAAACTAAAATAAATGTTATTTATAGATGGATTTGTATCTTGAGATGCATGGATGAATATCTCAACACTGACTTGCCTGTTGAAGGTATGAGCCTGTAAGCAAGGGTTGCTTGGCAGCAGATTCCAAGAGCTGATGCCAGGGAGAGTAGAGGAGCTAATTCTGAGTTAGATGGGCCAACAGCAGGCCTCTTCATGTGCTCTGTGAGACAGAGAGAGAGAATCAAATCTCTGGTGTATAAAGGTAGCAGGTGCTGGGCAGATCTCTTGCCTCAGACCTTGCAGTGCTACTGCTAGTCCAGATCAAGTCAAGGACCCTAGGCTAGCTTGACCTATATTCTGCTTCCAGTATAAGGCAACCTCATGCCCTGTGTGTGGAACAGTCCTAACTCAGGGGGTTGTCAAGCATATCAAATGATTATTTAATTCAGTTTGAGTGCCCAGTATCATGTTCACAGAAGCTGAAGTCACTTGGCTGAATTCCTGGTCATCTCCAGTAGGAGGGATAAGAGACCCATGACCTTGGCCTTGCTACAGCCAGAGAATGGATGGTCAGATAGACTAGGAGACGGATCCAGCATATAAAAGCTTAATATGTCCTACTTTTTACATTACTTTTTCAAGGCCACAGGTATTCCTTATGACAGAAACTATGGTAGATGACCCTTGAAAGTCTGCCTTCTTAGTTTAAATCAGTAGGTTGGGATTGGTGTACATCATAAAGTTTTTTCTCAACCACAAGTACATATGCAAAAGCTACAGCTTGAAGTTCAGGCCAGCCCTCCTGATATATCCCATGATGTATCTTTCCCTGCAATACCCTTGTTTACTTGAAGTCAGTATGTCCAGGTCCTTTAAAATAATGCTCAGAAAGAGAGATGAGCAAGATGGCTAATGTGAATATGTCAAATTTTAATATCAATTCTGTTGCATTTTACTGGAGAGGACATTCGGTTTGCATCTTAAGAAGCAGTTTTTCATTATTAGAGGAATTTTTCCTCCCCCAGCTCAGTGCCCTTGAGCCCTGCATGAGTGCACCTTAATATTTATTTATTTATTTAGAACATTTGTATGCCGCCCAGTTGTGCCACGGCACCTCTGGACAGCTGCACCACCGCCAACCCCCTATATATGCACAAACACTGCAATGACTTTTTATTCAATTCCAGCCTCTTCTATGGCAGGAGAGTTTTCTGTGTGGTGGTGAAAGGCAGTTAGGTGAACCCCCACCTGTGGTCTGAAATAGTAGAGGCCACAGACAGGTTTACTTCCTTGTCTTCTCTCCATGAGAACTAGCAGCATGAAAACATAAACATGCTTGGGCTGCTTCATGCAATACTGAGGATGTGGTATGTAGCAACAGAAAGGAGTAGAGGTCTTTTGGCTTCTCCTTTACAAATGTCTTTTTTCTGTTAAAATACGTATTTGTAAACAAAAAGCTTGAGCTGGCTCTGTTTGGGAATGGATCATTTTCATACTTACTACACTTCAAACTCTCCAGCTTTTCATCTCTCTTCTTGTTATTTTTAGCATACTGTTTCTTAATTCTGAGCTGTATTCACAAGTAGGAACTGTGGAATCATACATGCAAAATCATAACAAAAATCAGATCTAACCATTGTGACCAAAGATTGTAAGGTTTATGAAGCTGGTTTCTATCTTCCCATAAATTGACTGATGTTTTTGGATGTATATTGTCTCTTGTTGTTGAGGGAATATGTATTTTGAATTTTAATACAGAACAGAGCTTACTTCCTAGCAGCTTTGGAACATAAAAGAGGAAAGAAATTTCATTGGATCTACTCTCAATGATTCTTCCTTCTGTACTGGATGCGTTACTGTTCTATAGATAACAAATACATTTGCCCTTTTAACGCCACACAGTTGAGGAAACAATGTTGTCATTAGGGCTTCCATACCATGGGATGTTGTCAACTGTATCTCATTTGTATGTCTTTAACATATATATCAGATGTTTTCTGCACCCTTTCTTGTGAGTGACTTTTTAGAAATCTATTTCTGGGTAAACTTCTGGTGGGGTTGATACAGTGCTGGAACAAAAACAGCTGTTGAATTGTAGCAGAGGCCACCTCAGCAACTCACCAGAGAATTTGGAGGGGATAATTGTGCTGGTTCAGCCAGCTATCCTTATTCTCTCTCCGTAATATTTATCACCCATGTTCGTACAGCTATATATAGAATACCTAATCTTAGATGCTGTAGTTAAGCAGAGAAAGTTTAGGTGTTTTGCTCATGCAGAGCTCTAGGGCTGGGACTGAGGACACTAAATCTTCATCACCATATTGCTTTCATGACATCATGGGAGGCCTTGACACCAAGTCAAACATTTACTCTTTTTTGCTTTTAAAGTATCGGCATATGCACACATCACCACTATATCACAATCCACTTTTGAACAGACACACATGCGTACTTTCAGTGGTTGACATGCAACACAGGTGGGCCTGTTCTTAAATGTGCAAGCTGTGTTGAGTTTTGTATTTTGTATTTGCATAAGCTGATGCCTGTTTGTTTCTTTGTTATACCCTATTCCTTAAAGTACGTCTGATCAGGTGTGTCAGCTCTTCTACTTGTTAGCAGAGCCATGAAGTCTGGCAACCAGAGTTAGGGCAAAATGGTGGCTGGAACAGGTGGTGGAGGCAGTGCCAAGAATTAGCTTAGGAGATGCCATGGCTTTGCCTGGCTACAGACTGCCATGGGTCATGCTCATTCATCATCTTTATGGGCCTGTCCTTGCACTAGGAACTGCTTCTGAGGTCCTGCTCATACGTCTGTCGATCAAATTGGTTAATTTAGAAAGCATGGGGCATGGGGGGGTAGCCTCACTCTTCTGATACTCTCTTGTGGTTGATTTACACTTGGCCCCTTCAGTGCAGGCCCTTAAGAGGTGTCTAGTACGTACCTGTTGGCTGTGCCGGATGAATCTTGTGTATTTTGCTTCTGAGGGCTTGGCCCTAAAAAGTAGCTGAATAAATGAACCTAATGCCTAAAGATCAAGAATGCTGATTTCAAAAGTCCAGAACTGGGCCAGCCAAACTACAGAAAAGTGTCGTCATAGGCAAAAGTTAATATTCCTGTTTTTACAATGTGAGGAACATGGCGACTGAGCAATCAAACAATTAACACAAGGCCGGTAGTGGTAGAGTATTTTTAATACTTGAAATTTCCCTTGCTCTGGTAAAATTCTGGGTAATTGACTGCACTTGCCAATCTGTTGTTTATAACCCAAAGATCTAGTGTGTCAAAACCGATTCATCTTCTGCCTGCCCCTGTCTTAAACAATAAATGCTCAAACAATTATATTCAAGGTTTCTCAAGTTTTAAAATCTTTCTGAGTGATTTTTTTCTTGTATATAACTAAGACAGAAAGCAATTTGGGCCAAAGAATCTGAAAAAAAACTAGTACAGTTCTCATTTCTGCTACACTTTAGGAGGAGTGTGAATATTAATTTGCTGTTTGTGTTCTATTGGATGCCAATTTATTTTGTGGAGTGTTGTTGTTAAGTAATATTAGGGCTATTTCCTGTCTAAAAAAATTCTTAGTTGATTTGTTGGGTTCTATTAACTTAAGTGTATGTAAAAAATAATTGTTTCAAAGGGAAAAAGCAAGGTTTTCCTTGTTTGGGGGGACATGGGACAATTCTAAATGTAACAAAAAACAAAGGCAACTGTAATTCCATAAAATAATTTGAAAAAGAACCACAAGGGTGTGCTCAGTGTTTGCCTGTCCTTCAGAAATTCAGGATTTCAAACTGGTTTGTCCACATTTGCAAAGTCTGAGGTTCTTCTGGTGGCTAGTGCGATGTGCCGTTGTGCTCTTTACTGTCACTGTGGATGCCCTGTTTGTCCAGTGCAATTCTGAACGTGCTTTTGCCTCACTGCTGCATTCTGGCATCCGGTGTGGGATAGGCTGTTCATGGTGGGAGAACAGCATGGACCTCAGCTAAGAAAGGCTGTTTCTGTTGGCTTCAGAAAACCATGGACCTGATCCTCTTGGGAGGATCAGGGAGGAGGTGTTGGTGCAAAGGGTTCTCAGGATGCAGGAGCATGGCCTCTTAGCCTTCTTCTTGGGTAGCCCAGGCATCCCCCAGATGCTACCACAGAAGGAGGCTGTTGCTATGCCATGAGCCCCCTGATGCAAGAACAGCCCTCCTGTAGTTATCTTGGTCAGCCATGTATTTATTCAGAGGTTTGCAGCCTGCTTTTCAATTTGTGTAAAATTCCCAGAGCGGTTTACACTAACGGATGGGCTGGTGACTGCCTGCCTGCCTGCCTTGCTCTCGCTCTCACCACTGTTAGTTCTTGTAGCAATCAGTTCTCATTCAGACATAACATTTTGCTGTTATAGGAACGGATGTGCAGGTAGCACTTTGAAACTTGCTTTTCTTGGCTGCATGTATACATCTAGAAAATGGATTAGAGCCGTTCGATCAAATGTGTAGCTCTTCACTGACCAGACTAGTCCATGTGGTGAATGAAAACTTGACATTAGTAAGCTTAAGACTTTAGCCAGGCCAAATAAATTCAGCCAGTTTCTTTTAAAGTAGATTTCTTATTGATCTATAATATAAGGAAACTGTTCAAAATGGCCTAGTTGTTTCCACAGCAGATGTTGGCTGATTTTCTTTCTTTAAAAAAACCTGCTTTGGGTCAACCCAAACTCTTGACTTTGGACTCTGTCTGTAGTATTACCAGAACATCCTGGTAGCTTGCTAAAACTTACGATGACTGTTCTTTGTAACAAGGAAGTGGAAGCAAGTAGAATCAGATATGTACATATGTGTACACCTGTAAATTAATGTGCTCTTGAAGGTCAAGATTTTTTCTTGCTTACACCAAAGTGTAGGACACAGAATAATCAACTTAAGTGTAACAGCCCAAATTAAGGCTAGATAGCAGGAAACGTTTCCTCTCTTTCAGAGCAATACGACAGTGGAACCAGTTGCTTAGGGAGGGAATGGGCTCTTCCATACTGTTGATACTCAAGAAGCAGCTGGACAGCCACCTGAGTGGGGTGGTGTAAATTGGTGACCTGCAGCAGCAGGGGTTGGACCTGATGGCCTTCTTGGTCCCTTCTAGTGCTACCATTCTATAATTCTATGGAATGCTTAACAGATCAAGAATAAATTTAGAAATAGGAATCTGTGCACTCTCACCAGTGTCTTTATGGATGTGATAGTATGATGTGAGAAAGGTATGGTGAGAAAACATGCACAAATAACGGGTGTTTATTGATTAAACCAGGTGCAGATCCTTCCTTTTTTGTAAGAGTAGGTGTTTACTTCGTAAAGTTGCGATGCCCTAACCTCCCACTGTGTTTATGAAGGTAAACAACTGTCCAGGTGCCCTGGAGGAGGGAAAGGGTGCAAACATTATTAATAAAGACCATAGTAAGGTGTTTCATGAGTACATCTTCCAGACATCAGGAAAAGATAATACCAGCAGAGCATGTTAAATGGGGGGAAAGTTCAAGCAGAAATGGCAGAATTTTCAAATGCTCCAAAAAAGACTTTCCCTGAGTAACATAAAATGTGGAGTATGATTTTTTTAAAATTGATATTTATATTAAAACATACCACAGGAGCACAAACATTCCAATCCAACAAGATGACATTAATGCAAGCACAGTGTATTTCATTCTTGATATTTAGACTATAAGCTTAATGAATATAAAAATATTATCTAGCTTTTAAATTGTCAGGATTAAAAATATGCATAATAAATAAATGACAGTGAGATCTAGTCTGACCTCCGGCTGGTGCTGGAGGTCAGACTAGATGGCCCGGAAGACCCCTTCTGACTCGCTCTGTTTTCTATGTTTCTATCCAAATTATACTGACTTGAAGCAATCGGCATTATTTTGTGCTAATGATTTTTTATTTTTTTGGACAGAAACAAATATGCTCTACTGGTTCCATGTTATACCTGCTGAGATAAATTTAGCCTGACGTTTTTAATGAGCTATTAATTCTACAAACTGATTTCTTTATTATTAATAAAGAGTGATGCGTATGAAACAGTGTAACCCAGATTCAAACATTTGAAAACAGTTAAACATTAATGTCAACGTCTGATGTTTGCTTACAAAATGCAAGAAAAGCTTGCCAGTTCTTTGCAAAATGTTCTATTTTTTGTCTGACATCTAGCAAAATTGTGCAAACTATTATTAGACTATTTGCTCTCCTGTGGCAATCCATTATTTGGTGGAGAACTTTTTGTCTTTTGCAGTAACTATCTCTGGAATGTTTAACAAATTTGATATTAAGAGTAGAGCAAAATTGTTGCAAACCTTATTGAAAGATCCGAGCAATATACCTTTTGGAGTTAATGCTAAATCATTGCTTCCTGCCTTCTTGATTACTGTCACAATTTACTGTGAAAATATTTGAATAGGCCAGAAATGCACATAAATACATTGTATGCAGATGTGTGCATGTTTTATCTGGTTTAGAGACTTTTTAAAGAACTTGCTTTTTCTTTGAATCATGGTGTACCTGACTGCTCCCCGTCCGTCTTTCAGACCTGCTCATTAAGGGCAGTAATCTTCAGTCTCCTGTATGGTGGAGGTCTCATCAGCACTGGCAATCACAGGAACTTAAGAGGGCATCCAGGTCTATCCTATTCAATATTATCCTCATCACAGGTGTACCACCATGGGCCCAGATTTCCTCCAGGGGTCCTCAAATAGCTCCACCCGAAGCCCTAGCCCCTCCTCCTTTCTCCAAAAAAAAAAAAAATTGTTTTATTGTTTCCCTGGCTTTTGTGCATTTTCCCCTCCATTCTAAGAAGCTGAAGTGCTTCTCCTAAGCTGTGGTTGTTGACAGTCAGAACTATATAACCTGTCTTCTTTCTGTCTCTCTTTCATTCTCTCTGTCTTTCTTGCAGAGACCTCCAAGGCTGATCCTTCGTCCTTTTGCTCTACATTTTATCCTCAAAGGAACAATCCACTGTGAGCCAGTGGTGTGGTGGCTGGAGTGTTGGACTAGGACTTGGGGGATCTAGTTTCTAGTTCCCACTTGATCACAGGAAGCTCACTGGTGACTTTGGGCCTGCCCCAGACGGTCTACCGCATCGTGTTGTTGTGAGGATAAACTGGAGAGGGGGATTGTAGGTTCCTTGCAGGAAAAAGGCAGGATATATATAAGAAATAAATAAAGAACCTTATGATGTAGGCTATGCTGAGAGCCCATGCTCACCCTGGGAGCTTCATTCATTGCCAAGTGCAGAATGGAACCCTGCTCTCTCACTTCCTAGTCCAGCCACCGTGCCACACGGGCTCACAAAATAGCCTAGCCCTTTGGCCCTGCCCTTCTTGCCTCAGCCTCTCCTACCTTTGGAATGCGGCCCCTAAGAGCTGCTCTGAAACTGAATTCAGTTCTCGGGCTTAAAAGGGTTCTGCACCGCTAGTCAGACTGGCGGCAGCTTCCCAGAGTGTTTCCCACCCCTCTGAAAAGACCCCGTGTGCATCTATATAATGATGGCACATGAATTTCTGCAGGAATTTGCAATAGGGAAAGTAGCCCCACTGGTCTGGCAAGTTTGAAAACCAGTTGCTTGGAATCTTTCCCCTGTTAATGGCACTCCCAGCCTAGGAGAACAGGTGCTAAAACAAACTAAGGACGGAAATCCGTGTCAATATGACGGATGAAGTGAAATACGCTCCCAGTTTCACATGTCTGCCTTTAAGGACTGCTAAGCATGAGCAGGAAGCAGGATGAGTGGAAGGCGTGGGGATATGTTGAGCTCTGGGTCCTTGCTGCTGCTTGTTTGCTGGCTGGCTGCATGTGTGTTTCTTCCTTCCCCCGAACAACTCAGGACAGCCCCCATGATCCTGTGAGGTGGGCTAGTCCAGGAGAGAATGACTGGGCCACTGCCATCCCCTGAAGTTCACGTGGACTCTCCCTGGTGCTTCAGTGGCACTTGAACCAGGGGCCAGCATTACGGCTCCTGTGACCTCCTTCCCGGCCCTCCATTGAGTTCTGCTGCCTTTTCACCTTAGGATGGTGCACTTTCCCCAACTTTATTAAAGGCACCATCCTTCAACAGAGGGAACGTGAGCCGAACGCTGGAAACATCTTTTAGGGGCTGGGTGCTTTTCTCCAGAGCTACTTCATGAGGTGGTAGCAGATCTACCTGGTAGGAATGGATGTGCCACTTGTTTCCACGTATATTCTGCTTATTTACAGATACTGCAAGTATTCTGTAAGTTTCTGCCACCATTCCCTTTGAAACCCAAGTAGCACTGCCCCTGGGATTTCTCACTGCTGAGGGAAACAAGCTGAGCTTCCAAGAATACAGTCACTGAGGTCAACAACACTGAGGGCACAATCCACTCTGGATGCCTGTAACCCTTCTGAACTTGGAGTAAAGGCATCCGATGAAGGCCAAGAGATGTGCAGAAGTGAAGGTTGTCTCTCAACTTGCCCCACCCTGCAAATCACTGGGCAGCACTTCAGAGCAGGAGGAAAGGAGGCTGAAGCACACCAGGATACCTGGTATTTTGGTGACACCTGTCTTCTCCGAGAAAGGCACCCAGCGTTGCTCATGTGACCTTGGAGAAGCAGCTGGTGCCCCTCTTTCCATCTGAGCTGCAGAGGGGGAGGCGCATTTGAGCACAGTTCTCCAGCTATGAGATCAGAACAATTTTCCACTTTCATGGGTGGGAATGTGAAGAATCTTTCAGCTGTCTAGATGCTGTCTTGTGACCAAAGGTCTGTGCTGTATGCTGATGAAAGCTCTCCGTGTGCATTCCCTAAATACGATAGTTGGAAGTGTTCTTTTCAGAAAACTGAACTGTGTTAATTGAGGTGTGCAAAACAATTAAATTTTCCCCTCTGCAATTAAGCTTACTTCCAAATTTTGAGGTATCTTATATTTTAAGGCATTTCAGGCTGCCTTTGAATAATGCATCATTGTGGGAAATGGGTTGAAACAGATTTAAAGTTTCGTGGATTATGACTTCTACCAGTGATATTAACAAAAGCCTTTCATGGATCGGGACATAAACATGTGATTGCCGGTGTAATCTTGTGCATGTTTACGCAAAACTAAATCTTCCCATCTTCCATCTCAGATACTTCACCATAAATCTGTGTGCATGTAAATAAAGCATCTGCAAAGATAAATTTACAGAGCAACTACAATTGACATTGGATTGGCCATAAGGGTAAACGAGTTGCTGGACACCCATTGTCCCCTTCGATAGGCCATGCTGGCAGGGGCTGATGGGAGCTGAACTCCAAAACATCTGGAGGAGACCAGGTTGCCCACCATTGCCTTATTTCAGTTGCTTTCTTCCCAGTCGAGAAGAAATCTGTTCCAGATTCGAGTCCTCCGATGAGGTATCCCCTCGCGATTTGCAAGTGTTGTCAGCTTGCTTCCTTTGCAGTACAGGAGCTGTGAGACACATCAGAGTTTGCATGACTCCCCATAGCCCCATTCTGGAACTGAACTGTGCTTGTAACAAATTTATTCGCAGATCACTAATTTAGGGTACCACATTTGGTCCTCCTGTGGGCAGAGCACCTTTGCCTTGGCTCCTTAGGGAGTGCACCCTCCCATCTGTGTACCAGGATAATAAATGCATAAAGACCATTGGGAGTAAGGGATCCTGGTAGCTTCTGCAGCTAAGCAGTGTCTTGCAGCATTTGTGAAATGCTAGTAGAGCTTTATCCTTGCACCTCTTTTTACGACTGGGTCAAAACGTGAAGATAAATGAAGCGGGCTAAAACTCCCGTCAGTACCAGTCTTATAAGGAAATAGGGGAGGTGTGATGTTTGTTCAAGGTGATACCAGGCTTCCCAACTGGCTTATGATCTGACTTAAATGTGACTATGCCGTATCTGTGCTTGTGTAAAGGCTGCTATTATGAGTTCCCCTTTGAGTGCCTCAGGTTCCATACCCCATCTGTTAACCTGACTGGAGATGTACACAGCAATTAGGTGAATGTGTTACTATGGATTCATTTAAACTCTTGTGTGCTGCTGTGCATGACTGTATTGACTGTGCTTTCCTTCAAGGGGCAATATAATGCTTTAGAGCGTGAGGGTCAGTCTGGTGGTCCCTGGATGCTTTTGGGCTATAGCACTCATTGTCCACTCGTATGTTTTTATATCTATAGCCCACCTTTTTTCCTTTGAAGGCGCTTAAGGCAGTTCACACAATTCTCCTCCTCCTCTCAGTCTTCTCCTCAGAACAGTTCTTTGTGGCTCTCATTTCGGCTGAGAGTCTGTGGCTGGCCCAAAGCCACCCGGTGAGCTCCATGGCTGAGCGGGGACTGCAACATGCGGTTCCTTGGGATCAGTGTTGTCCTCCCTGGGTAGAATCAGTCGTTCTACTGAAAAGCATGGAAGGAAGGGAAATTTCAGTTTGGATTGAATGTTTTAAGATGCAGGTTTTGCATCTTAAGGGAATGCTGCTTTGATTTATACTGTTCTATGCCCTGTTTGGGGCTGCAGGTGGCACAGTGGTTTAAACTGCTGTGCTGCTGAGCTGGTTGATCGAAAGGTCGCCGGTTTGAATCTACACAATGGGGTGAGTTCCTTTTGCTCCGTCCCAGCTCCTGCCAACCTTGCAGTTCGAAAGCATGCAAATGCAAGTAGATGAAAAGGTACCACTTCGGTGGACAGGTAACAGCGTTCCGTGCACTTCAGTGTTTAGTCATGCCGGCTACATGAGGACAGAGACCGTCTGCGGACAAACGCTGGCTCCCTCGGCCAGGAAACGGAGATGAGCACCGCCCCCTAGAGTCAGGCATGACTGGACTTAACGTCAAGGGGAAACCTTTACCTTTATGCCCTGTTTGGCTTTCGTAAAAGGGCTGTACTTCTAAAGTTTCATCTGAGTCTGCTGGAGAGGAAAAGAGGGAAGGAGAGAGTTACTCATGACAGGTGGTGCCTGGCTGTGACACTGGATGGGCCGAAGGCTAACAAGCCGAAGCTCAGTCCAAGCCAGTCTCTTATGGGGACGGCTCCTCTGACCGGATGGAGGGTGCTCAGCCTGTTCTGTGTGGGGTTGTCCTCCCCTTGAAGGAGCAGGTTCGTTGCTTGGGGGTCCTTTTTGAGTCATTTTTGTCTCTTGAGGCTCAGGTGTGACACAGTAACTTCTACGAGCTTTGGCTGGTAGTCCAGCTGTACACCTATCTGGAGAGGGATAGCTTGGTTTCAGTAATCTACATGTTGGCAATCTCTAGATTAGATAGCACAAACATCGTATGTGTGCCTGCCCTTGAAGAATGTTTGGAAGCTGCAATTTATGCAAATGCAGCAGCTAGACTTAATAGACGGGACCAGAAAGTTGGAACATGTAAAGCACTGGCAACGTGTATGGCGCACGCCTTCCCTCTGCAAGGTACCTAGACACTGCGGTCAGCATCTGGACCATTCTTTTGAGTCCCACCTCAGTTGATGGCTGCAAGGGGAAGGATCTTCTCAGCGGTGGCCCCCAGCCGTGGAATGATCCGCTCAGTGGATCCATCTGGTGTCACCTTCATCATCCTTTTGGCACTAGCAAAGACAACTCTGTGCTGAGGCATTTAAAGGCATCTAAGGTTTATTTAGTGGCTTCATGGGAGTACCACATCACGAGTTTTTAACAGATCCTCTCAGTCTGTTGCTAAATTATACATTTAACTGTTTTAAATTGTGTAGTGTGGAAACTTGTAATGGTTGTTCTGTAGTTTCATGCCCTGTTTGTAGGAACTGCCATAAACCTCCCAGAAAGCTTCTGCTATTAGGTGGTGTGGAAGCAGAATAAGGAAGCAAGTGGGGCCACTGCAACTCTGGCTTTTTAAAAATGCATTTATGTATTAAATATATATTTATCCCGCCTTTTTCTTACAATGAACTCAAAGCAGCTTACATCCTTCTCCTCCTGCTGCTCTCAGTCTTATCTCCACAACTATCCTGCGAGGTAAGTTGGGCTGAGAGTGTGTGCCTGGCCCAAAGCCATCTGGCTGGTTCCATGGCTGAGTGGGGACTGGAACCCAGGTCACCCGAGTCCCAGTCCCACACTCCTAACCAGTGTGCACTTTATTCACAGGTGAGGGCAGAAAATGAACATTTTTCCTAACCATCAAGATACATGTCAGAGCATTTCTTCAGCGAATGCTATTTTCTCTGGTTTTTGACAGTGGGATATGTGAGGATTAGTGATTTGTAACACTTACTCAAGTATTATTGTTGTTCATTTTTTAAAAACACAGATGGTTGACCCTACGCTAGCAGAAATGGGAAAGAATCTTAACGAGGCCATGAAGTTGCTTGAAGATACTCAAAGGTATGTATGTACTGATCATAGCCCTGAGGAGTACTTTGTGGCGGTGCTGTAAAGGCACTGCTTATTGACAATTTTTCTGCTCAGATGGGCACAGTCTGTTACTGCAAAAGCATATACATTGTCAACAACAAAATCACAGGCTTGTTTCCATTCTGATTTATAACAAACATTTAAACATCAAGTCTGGGCTCTCAAAGGCTAGAGGCCAAAGATTGTGCAGCCAGTTTTGTTGAATATCAGTTTTCTTCCCCACAGTCCTGACCTTAAATTTGGGAGTGGAAAAAGTAAGTAAGGTGAGTAATGTGTTTCCGATGTGCAGCCTAAGAGGATATCTTGTTACAATTGGAGTTATGTCTGAGTTGCATCCCAGTCCCAATCCCTACTTAAGCGGTGTGATATTTTTTAAAAAATATATCTTCAAAAGGTACCATAAAAAAGAAGGAAATATATAGGAGAGAAAGGTGCCAAGGGTCAATCCACAGATACAGCTTGTAATATCAAAATTTAAACACATTCATAAACAAGTGAAAATCTCCATCAGCCACAGTCCCATCCAAATCATTCAATCCTAAATAAAAAATTAAAAATTATAACATTGCCTTGGTTTTCAGATGAGGTTCACTGACATTTGTAAAAATGATACTTTCTTTAACAATTAATTTAATTGCTCATAATAAGCATTCCACTCTTGAGTAAATTCTTTAACTGGCCTTCTATTAATATAATTGGCTAATTTTGCATTGTTGCGTACTCAGCTACGTGTTTTTCCAGTCTTCGACAGCTGGGCAATCTTCAGCTTTCCACTCTGAGGCAATTATTAATCTAACTGCTGTTATCATATATTTAAATAACCCTTATCACAATCTTTGGAATAGTCTCTGGTACAGTACTCAGTAACATATTCTTGTCATTCAAAGGAAAGTCCATTTAGATAGTATATTTGGTACCGCAAGACCTCCTCTCTTTTTTTCCTCTTGTAGAACTTTAAATCTAATCCTTGGGGTTTTTTTTCCATTCCAGATAAAAACATCCAAATTGTCTTTGCCAGTCTTGTAAGATTTTTGCCCTTATTGGAATTGATAAAACCTGAAATAAGCAATTTGGCCTTACATTCATTTTTATAATGGAGATTCTTCCCAGCCATGATTTTTTAAAATTTAGACCATCTCTGCAAATCCTTTTGGGTTTTCATGCAGATTGTTTTGAAATAATGTATTGTTATGGCCTGTCATATTTATACCTAAGTACTTAACCAGATTAGAAGTTAATTTCACATCCTTATTTTTTAAAAATAATTCCTCTTCTTTTTTCATTAGAAACTTCAATAGAATTTTCCTTTTCTTCTTGTTAATTTTATAACCGAAATAGAATCCAGATTTTTCCATTTTATCTATTATTTGTTGGATACATTTGGATTTAATATGGTCAGTACTGTATCACCTGCATAACTTTTCATTTTATATTCTTCTCCATCTATTTTTAAGCTGTTTATGTCTGAGTCTTATCAAATTTTCCTGGCCAAAACTTCCAGTAAGAGGCATGAGATTTTCGATAGACGTTATGATGCATGTTTGCCCTGAATGTGTGCATTTTTTAGTTCCCTATGCTAACACAAGCCTTGGAACACTTAGAATTCAAAGAATATTTTTATTACAACAAAAATAGAACAGATGCAGTTTCTATAATTACCGGTTAATGGTCTTCTGTTTCTAGATGTAAGCAGCAAATACAATTTTTTCTCATTCATCCTTCCTAATTTTCAAGAAAGCGAAGCACCCTATTATTTCTTTTACTCGTTACATTTTTATCCTGCCTTCCTTCCTTCCTTCCTTCCTTCCTTCCTTCCTTCCTTCCTTCCTTCCTTCAAGGAACTTAAGGGGGTTTGCACAATTCTCCTTCCCCTCCTCCCCATTTTATCCTTACAACAGCCCTGTGAGGTAGGTTAGGCTAAGAGTCCATGTCTGGCCCACAGTCACTCAGTGAACTTTGTGACCGGGGGGGGGGGCTAGACCCCCGATTTCCCAGCTCTCAGCCCAGCTTTTGTGTAGCCTGTGGAAGGAGATCGCCTGGACAAGAGCCCTGTTCTTAAGCAGTGAGAACTGGAGCCTATAAAGATTTACCTTTCCGTCACTTCATTTCGCATGGCTGACTCTTGTGCAGGCAAAGGCATGGTTGGTGGGTGAGCTGTGAGACTATTCATACTTTTAGTTCCCCAGTTTCTTCTGTGGCAGAAGGATGGGTCACTTGGACTGAATGAGTAAAACTTCCTTGGAATCCTGATCCCATAGCTTACTCTTTTGTGCCAGGTATTTTAATCCAAATCAGAATTACTTGAACTAAAGTATTTATCCCTTTCATCAAGCTTTTGTTGATTCCATACTTAGAATATTGACTCAGACCATCCTTTCCTCTTTTCCTGTGTATCTTTGCTTAGAGAGGAATTTCCTGCTAGTTTTTAATTGCATCGTATCTTTACCACAACCCAGTCATCCAGTCTCCAAACTTGCAATGGCCTCCTGCTCTCCAGTCTCAAGGGTCAGTCCAGTTCTCTTTCTTGACTGTTTGCCAAACATACCCTTGCTTCTCTGAGGCTCTGCTTAGATACTTACCTCTTCTTCCTTTTGTCTTTTCTAAAACGGACTGTGCCAGAGATGCATGATTAAATCACAGAAAAGCTTCTGTCCTAACAGCCTCAGGAAATGAAAAGGAGGTAGGAGAAGGATAACTGGAAGGGTGCAGATAAATCCTACAAAGCACATTTGTTAATTTTTAATACCCACTTTGCTAAGGTGGTTTAACTCTCTTATATAGTTAGGGCATCATTATAGGTAAATCAGGTTCAGCGCTTTGGAAACCATTTAGCTACTCCGATGTTTGTGTGTTCCTTTCAAAAACCATCTATAGCGGGGCTTCTTGGGGGTTCAACCAAAGCTTGGGGAGTTAAGTGACCCATATTGTTGTGTGTTCAAACTAGGAAAGTGGAGGAAGAAAATGAAAAGTATGCAAGGAAGGATATTCCCGGACCGCTGCAAGGCAGGTGGGTAACATGATCGTGGGCGATGAATCTCCTGGCACTTTTCTCTCATAAGGACATAGCCCTGCCAGAACACATGGAGGGCAGAGTTGGATCACAGTTGAGGTGGAGTGACTATAACTCAATTGGTAGAGCAAATGTTTTGCATGCAGAAATTCTTGGGTTCGACTCCTGGCAAATTCTCACACTTTCTGAGAACTTACTGATTCTGTGTCACAGTAAACCATGGTTTGATGCTACAATCATATGCCACAGCAAGCCTCAGGCCTGTGAATTCCTCTTCTCCCATGTGGCTGAGAGGATATCAGAAGCCTTTGTTCTGCATTTAGTTATCCATGATTTACCGTATTGTCTGGACAAAGAATTGTAATTAGCACTAACTAAGATTAGTTTCAAGAAGCCATCTTCATAAGCCACAGTTTTAACAATGAGCGTTAAAAGAATTAGTTTTAATAATTAGTGTTAATTGCAGTTTGTCACATTGGGTCAACGGACCAAACTATGAGTAAGGAGAAGGAAGCATTTCTAGATTTCTTCCTACCTTTGCAGAAAGAATGAAAAGAGGCAAGGGAGGGAGTATGGAGGCATGAAGCTCGCTGTATCTTATGCACATCATAAGAAACCATAGTTTACCCTGGCATGTTACAGTAGTTGAAACTAGACCAGGTGGGCCTTCAGTCTCTATTAAGACAGCAACATATTCAGTGTACGATCTGCCAAGATTACAGCTGTGTTCATTCAGTCGGTGATGTTGGTAGTGAGTGGCAGAAACAGAGAGGCTGGTCCCCTGCCTACACAGCGGTAGAATAGATTGCCGCTTGTTCTTGTGCACTGGTGCATTTGGCACATGGTACCAGTCAGTCATTCTGTCCTCTTCCCCAGTTACCTGCCAATATGCCCTGAAGAAGTGTTGTTCTAGCAGGTTGTGTTCCTTGTGGTTTTATCAAACAGTGAGCAATTCCTGAAGGAAAACAAGCCACTGGTGACCTCCCTAGAAGGTCTTTATGCTGTATTACTCAAATATGCATATTATTATTATTTCAAAGTTGAGGTGTAGGATGCTTTACGATACACTGCAATACTAGACAAAATACTCAGAGCAACTTAAAAATGACCAAAACCGCCCTCCAGTAGTCCCTCCATGAGGGCATTCAAAGAGCTGTGTTGTTACTCTCTTTTTGCCTTCTCTAGTGGGCAAGATATGGTCAGCATCCTCCAGTTAGTCCAGAATCTTATGCATGGAGATGAGGAGGAGGAATCATTGCAGTCCTACCGGTAGGTATTTTCAATACATTGAAATTAAGAGAGGATACCTAATAAAAACTTTGCATATTTCTGGAAAAAATGCTCGGACTGAAGGCCTTAAAGCACTACCAGTTAGAGGACATTGCACAGCTTTTATATATTTTGTCTTCTTAGTGGTGTTTCTGTGGTAAGAAAAAATAGGAGAAGCAGTGGCAAAACACAGAAACTGTATGAGTGAAAGGTATTGTCTGTAGTGCCAGTAAAATCACATGACTGAGGCAGGGCAGCTAGTTAAAGCAAACGGGTTTCTCTTTCTTTAGTCTTCTCTCCCTTCTAGAAAGCTCTCTGTCTCTAAATTGATGGCAATCTTGAAAGCATTTTTTTTTTCTTTTGCGATGGGTTCAAAACCTGCTTTCCCTTGGGAGAGTTTCCTTTTTGGGACAGGCAGCCCTGTGCAGTGGGCGAGCACACATTTTGCATGCACGAGGGCCCAGATATAGGCCCTCCCGCCTCCAGGTCGGTTTTGGAAAATTTCCAGCCTGGAGAGCTGCTGTCATCCCGTGGAGGCAAGACTGGGCTGCTTAAAAGTCCTATTTCCAGTCAAGTGTTCAAAGCTGCTTATATCACAGAATATTAGAATATCCTTACAGATAAAGAATGATGAATGACATAATAATAATGAGTAACAATTAAGAAAAAAGTGCCGTGAGAGCAGGCAGTGTACCTTAAAACCAAAGATCCAGAGCTAGGTAAATCCCTCTCTAAAAAGAGAGATCTGAAGGAGATCTTCACAGGTTATGTTTCTATGCTTTTTTTCTTGAATCGATTTTTTAAAAACTGCCGTAAGCAGCTTTCAGAACGTGGTGGGAGCAGCATTATGTCCCAGTCCCAGTGGAATCATTGCCTTTTAGGCTGTTCTAGAAGGATGAGCAGAGCAAACGCGAGGCGCATCATTTGTGCAACGTCCTAAGCCGTTTCTGGTTTGCAGGCTTCAGAACGTGGGGGAACAAGGTCACATGGCCCTGCTGGGGCACAGCCTGGCGGCCTACATTTCAGTGCTAGATCGCGAGCGGCTGAGAAAACTCACCACGAGGATCCTTTCGGACACCGCTCTGTGGCTGTGCAGACTCTTCAGGTACTTTGCAACGACTGTTGATTGCAGCTGACCGGTAAATGGAATAATTGGTCTGGGCATTTGGAATGCAGTCAGGATGAAGCGTGGAGAGCCCCGAACAATAACTTTCCTGCGGAAAAAATGCATTTAGGCAAGCTTTCAGTTCTGCAGTGTAATAGGCACTGCATTTTACAGGGTAGAAATGCGTCACTGCTTGCAGCCCACTCGATCAGGGTGTGCAATTTTTTTTACCCTCCAGATGTTTCCCTTGCAATTCCCGTCAGTCCTAGTCCATATAGCCAGGAGTGAAGGAGGGTGCGAGGAGAACAGACCAGCAGGAGGGCCTCACGTTGCATACTCTTGTGTTTTATTATTAATTTCCTATTTCCTAGCATCCTTACCCTTTCTGAAGATTTTTATGATGTATGTAGACTTGAAGGAAATTTATTTATTTGAAACATTTGTATGCTGTCCTTTATGATAATCATCTCAGGATGGCTTACAGTGAATAAAAACAATAAAACAGTACAATAAAATAATATATAGTGTTATTATTTTATATGTTGTATATGTTCCCCCCCCCCTTTTCTACTATTGCATGACTGGGGAAAATAAATAGGAGTCTGAATATGAACTTATGGGATAGTTTCAGGTTTTAGAACAGGAACGGATTTGCATGTTGCATATCTATTAACTCAAGGTTCTTGAAAATGGTGGATTTGTCAATTATATACCAGTCATAAAAGTGGCAGCATAAAGAACGTAAGTGGAGTTAATGCCAAAGTACAGTATCCGTCACTGACTTTTTACATAACATAGTTCTAAGTTTTTTTCTTTTTCATTCTTGTTGGCTAACATGGAAATAAGAGTCACCTGAAGCCACCTTTTTTTCCTTTCTCTGAGATGGGTGGAAAAGAGAAATGCCAGCTAGCAGGAATTAATCCCAGATATAAATTAGGAGATGAGCAAATGCACTTGTCAAATGAGGCCAAATTTCAGTCATTTTCTGCTATTCTATCTTGGCAGCAAGGATTAGGAGCCAACAGAACAAATTTATTCCAGCATAATCTTTTGGGAATACCTATGCATTGCTTCCATCTGATGAAACGGACAGTGTCCACAAAAGCTTACACCAGAATGAAATGGTTAGTTGCTAATGTACTGCAAGAGCCTTCATTCTTTTGGTGCAGTTGACTGACATGGTTATCCTCTGGAAATTTCTAGAAGCCAGAACTATGGCTCTAAAATTATGGAACATTTTTGTTACAGACCCAGTCCTGGGGGTTCCCATGTCTGTTACTTGCATTGAGGGAAAAAGCCCTCCTTGAAGTTGAATGAGGGCTTTGGTTACTCAATGCAAATGGAAGCGGGGGGGGGGGGGCGTTAATGATACAGATTGGGGTGATAGGCATGTGGGGGAGACCTCATACCAGGGCCTTGCGCCAGACCAGGGCCCTGTGTCTGCTGTTTGATAAAGAAGAAACTGAGCAACACCAATCTGCATGGTAAGTCATGGCTAGATAAGCCTTGCTCTTCCCCTCAGTTCCTCTTGAAGGTGCTGCCTTTTCATCAGAGAAAGAAGAAGTGATGGGGCTACCATTCCCTCGCAGAGGGAGAGGCTTTTTCCCCTTCTCCACCTCTTTCTTTTGAGTGGGGTTTGGGAGAACCCTGATTTAGATTCAGATAAGGAAATACCATTTAATCTAATGACATATCCAAATGCTAATCATGAAAAGTAGACAGTTGCTCTTACCATAGCAGGTATTTCAGATAATAAATAGTGTGAATGAAGCAGAGATCTGAAGAAAAGCCTTAATCATTTCAGATAAGTGCATTTAACCTTCTGATGTTTCTTTTAAAAAATTCTTGTTAAATTCAAGGAGCATTAATTTTTTCTCAGAACATTCAGTTTCAAAAAATGCCTTTCATAACAGCTTAATTTAATACGATCTGAGTGAAGCAGCACCTTTTCTAGAGCTCACATTTAATTAATGCTGTCTCTTAACAGGTTTGAAAATGGGTCAGCGTATTACCATGAAGATGATCGTGAGGGTCTTTTAAAAGTCTGCAGGCTAGTGATTCACTCACGCTACGAAGACTACACTAATGAAGGGTTCAATGTGCTTTATAGCAAGCAGCCGGTCCTGTACATTAGCTCTGCAGCCAGAGCTGGCTTGGGCCAATTTCTGTGCAGTCAGGTAAAATGAAACCGACATGTGTGACTCATACTTTTACCACCTAAGTTTTATATTCCGAGCCTGTAAGATTATTTGTTCCTCAGTTAAACATCCAGGCCTGTGACTGGTGAAAAGTACTGGCTTCATCCTTTGCAGGGGTGGGGCTCAGATCTCTTTCACTGGGGGTTGGACGGTATTGTTTCGTGCACGGTGTTCTGTTGCCGGTCTTCTGGGACTGCGAGCAGCCTGAAAGTCAAATAGTTCAGCTCTTGCGCTTCCCCAGAAATCTCTTCACCCTGCTTAGGTAGAACTTGCAGCCCTTCGCTCAGATTGGCTGCTTGGCTCTCATTGGCTTCCCTGGGATTATAGCTGCCTGACACCTGAAGGGGCTCCACTGTCTCACATTCTGTGCGCCATCCTCCTCACTGTCTCTGTGTCCTGCCTGCAGATGTGCCGGGTGGCAAGATCAGAACCGCTATTGTCACGAAATTCCTACTTGCCTCCTAATCAGGCTGCACCCACTCGCTCAATTCTTCAGGCAGGTTTGGGCATTGTAGCAGTTTGAGCTTTCCTTTGGTGCCTCAGCAAAAGAAATTAAGAGGCTGCTTCTTGCGGGAGAAGAAAGCGATGTCACGGTTTGTTTATTTACAGATAGCCTTTGAGCCTCTCAAAGCACCTTACAAAGGTGAAACCATAAAAAGTTCCTGCCCAGAGGCTTAAAATCTGAAAAACATGACACCAAAGGAAATGGGATTGGGAGAGAGGAGGAAGAAAGATGGCTCTTAAGATATAATTGTGTCTCAGTTATTGTGTTGTTCTTCTTGAGAGTTGTGTTGCAAGGCAGTGGCTGTAGTAACACAGCCTTGTCCTGCTTCCATCTTGTGGCCTAATGTCCAGGTTGAGGAACATGGGGCCCTTCAGGTGTCAGTGCACTGCAATTCCCATCAGCCTTAGTCAGTATGCTTCATGGGAGTTAAAGTCCAGCAGCTTCTGGAGTGCCATGCATTCCTCCGCTCTGACTTAGGAGAAGGCATTATGAAAAACAATCTCTTGGAGTGTAGCCTTGCCACTGTGTTTGCATTCTAGCATTTTTGTGAATCGTTGAAGTGAAAGGCCCAGGTTAATAGCACAGATGAACCAGATGCCTCTCTGTACAGAAGGCTCTAATTCCGTATCCACCTGCACCTCCTTTCAAAGAACAAATGCCCCTGAAGCGAACAGATAAAGTTAGAGTTGCCAGTCCTGTCTCTCTCTCTCTCCCCCTGCAGCTTGGCCTACCCCTTTCCTGCATACGCCCGGTGCCTTGTAACACCATGTTTGGCTCTCAGCATCAGATGGTAAGTCTTTGGAGTGGCTGTGGCATGTTGCCTTACCCATTGGCTTAGAGATACATAACTTTTCTTCCTCCTTATTTGGCAACAGGACGTGGCTTTACTGGACAAATGGATTAAAGAGGACATCAAGTCGGGAAAGCTGCCACTGTTATTAGTAGCCAATGCTGGTAGGTAGCTTTAACAGATGAAAATAGTGTGCGTTTCTTTCTCCAAGCCTGTTTCATCCCCACCATGACCAAACAAAGCTTTGGAATTCTAATTTCTAGATAGGTATAAAGTAGGAAACTATAATATTCTGCTACTTGGTCACGCTCTGAGCATCGTTTTCAGGCCCAGTTCTTATGAAGTAGCAAAGCCGTGCTTGAGTGGGACCATCCAATCTGCAGGTCACCTGCATGATGGAATGCTCATCCATACTAAGAAAAAAAATCAACTGCTCCTAAGGGCTAGAAACTCGTTTTCCATTAAAAGAAAACTGAGGAACTGCCTTGCGGCAAGAAGGGAAAAGAGGAGGGGAGCGCGATCGAGCTCAAACAGGCCCCAGACAAGAAGACACCGCTCAGTGCCCAGCACAGGCGCCAGATTTGAGCCCAGGATAAACCCAGATGGGAAAATGTCCCACTCCATTGCAAGGCAGAGTAGTTTGACTTGTGGATGGAGCCCACACGCAGCGGTATAGCTAAGCCAAGCCAGCAGGCCACTGTCTAACCACACACACACACCCCTCTTGCAGTCCACCTGCCACAGTTCGTCATGGCTGTACTATTAAGTCAACAAGTCAAACCCTGTGGCCTCTGAGGTGGGCCACGCGTGTGCAGTGGGTGGGCGGGGAAGTCATGCTGCCTCGTGCGTAGTGGAGCAGTCAGGAAGAGACCTGCAGGGAATGGCTGAAAGGGAGCCTTGCAGGGGGAGGAGATTGGGCAGCGCACCACCAAGTGTAAAGCCAGTGTCCTTGGGTGAAAACACAGTTCTCGCTCCTCCAGCCAAGAAACTGGGATAGCTTTGTTAGGTGGTTGTGCAAGCGTTAACAAACGCCCCACGCTCAGTTTGTTATTTCCCCTCCATGTAGGCACACCAGGAGCAGGGCATACGGACAAGCTCGGGCGGCTTAAAGAACTCTGCGAGCAGCACAGCATGTGGATACATGTCGAAGGGTACAGTGCACACTTTAGAACGGTCCTAACATTTTCAAGTAACGTTGCATCGAAATGCTGTTCGTGGCACCTCCAGAGCATGGGCGCAGGGGACCTGGCGAAAGGTTCCTCTTCCATCTCATCTCTTCTCTAACAGCTTCCGATGCTAAACTTGCAGCCCTGTTCTTTGAAGTCTGCTGAACGGAGGGATCTGGGACGTGACTAGGGACCGAGTGGGCAGTAGAAGCTGTTGAAAAGGAAAGGAGCCGCAGATCTGGATACGCACACGGATCTTGTGTGCTCGCTCCTGTGGAGCATGGAAGCCAGTGGAAAGTTCCACACACGTCAGACAGCCTGCTCTGCATCCCTCTCTGTTTTGGCACATCCAGGCAGTGTGTAAAAGGCCGTGCACTATTCTGCAGAGTACATGAGCTGTAGGAAGGGTTCTGCCTGTGATGCCATTCCTTATAAAGGGATCTGCCAGACTTGCGCTCTCGGGGCACATGATCTCCTCCTCCCGGCATGCATAGACAGGCTGTGAATTGAGCCGGAGACCGGCATGTGGAGCACATGTGTTACCATGGGGCCGTGGTCGTGCCCAGTACGGTGAGCCCAGTGCCTTCCCCCATCCTGCAGGTTAAAGCCGAACATGCTGCTCAGCCAAGGAGCTCAACTGGCCATCTTGCCCCTTTCCTGATTTCAGCTGAATCATTGTGAAGTCAGGGAGCTTGACTGCATGTGCTGCTTGCAATGGGTTTCTGTGTCACGACTCCCTTGTAAGGCGGGCGAGTTGTCCATGCATGCTTCTGATTGGTGGGATGCTGTCACCACCCCCTTTTCCCTCTAATCCTGGGTAGGGTTGCTTGAGAGCTAGAAGCTGCTTAACTTCCTGGGGTGAGATAGTGACTGGCTGAGATTTGTGTTCGTGGTAGGCTGGCACCCAATTCCTGCCCCACCACTTTTTTGTACTGGCTCAAATTAAAGCAGGAAGATCAGCCAAGTAGCTCGGCCGGTGAGGAGAGAGCTTTCTCTCGGAACCACCAGAAATTTGTCCTCAAACATCAGGTCCAAATTGATATATGACATCAGACGGATATATGGTATTTAGTAAAGGAACATCATAAGAGACAAAGATGGGAAAGAACAGTGGATACTTGAAAATAATGGCAAAAAAGGTTATTCATGACTGATTGAAGCCCCACTGATTCCAGTGGGCCTATTTTATGTATGATTAAGAGCACACTCTTACGACGGTTTAGGCTGAACAAAGTTTTACAAATTTCAGCATCCCCCAGCCAACATGGTTTCTCTCCTCACATTTGCATCGTGTTGTGTTGTAAATCTGCATTTGCTCAAGTTAAAATCTTGTACTGGCATGTTAGCTACAATAAAACTAGAGCTTTCAAATTTCAAATGCTGCAATAAATTCCAGTTTCTACCAGTGTTCAGTAAAATGTGTTTAAAGGGGACTTCAGTAAGTTGTAGTCTCTATATAAATTTCTTACATGAAAGAAAGGTAAGAGGAAGTCTAAAGGGGAATGTAAGCATTTAGAAGCAAGAGCGTGTTTAATCTACCAAACCAGTCTATTCTGTTGTTTGTTTTTCAGGGTGAATTTGGCCACTCTGACTTTGGGTTATGTGTCTTCATCTGTACTGGTATGTTTGTGTATCTTCACTGACATGTCTTTGGTTGTGGCTTCTCAAACAAGACTTTTTGCACAACTTAACAAAGGTTGAGGTGCAGTGCCTACACGTAATCTTATTTCATTTAAGATGCATGTATGATCAGATGAAAGATAACACAGGAGACGTGTCTGAGGGTCCCAAAGCAAGCTACAGTTTCTTACTTCTCCTATCTGCAAGTGCAGATAGAGTCTTCAAGCGTATACCATAACTTCAAAACAATTTAAGAAGTAGTCCATAAATGAATCATGATATTATTCAGACTAACTTTGACAATAAAGTACTCTATGACTGGATTCAGTTTGTGTTGGAGAGAATAATTTTAAATATGACTCTTGGCAAAATGAGAAATCTTTGTGTTGTACATGGACACACAGACACCGAGAGAAAGATTGGGAGAGAGAGATCCTTTTCTCAAATCATACAGTATAGCGCTGACAACAGTGGAGTAGTACTCTGGAAAAGAAGGGATGTTAATTTAAATGTTGAGGGATATTACTGTGCCCTTAAAATTGCTCTCATTTGGCCCTTCTTAGGCCTACCTCAAAACTGTGGGCATTAGGGAAGCCACTGTGGCACAGTGGTCAGACTGCTGGACGGGGACTCAGGTGATCTGGCTTCACATCCTCCCCTGGCCATGAAGCCCACTGGCTGACTCTTGGCCAGTCACAGACTCTCAGCCTAACCCACCTCACAGGGTTGTTGCGAGGATAAAATAGAGCCTGCCCTGGGTTCCTCACGGGAGGAAAAAAGCTGGCTATAAATTCAGTGTAATCATAATAAATAAGTACAAGTATCAGATTTACTCCCCGCTCCCCTCATGCTTGTAGATTAGAACTGTCTGAATCCAGTTTGCCTGGACACCGTGCTCTGATCTGGTTGGCAGGGAAGGATAGTTTGCAGCTGTGCCTGAAATACAGTCTGCACACCTCTCTAGTTCTCTCTCCATGGCCCCTTTCTTATTTCCCTCTTACGCATATTTGCCTGCTTAGAGATGCCCATCTCTTCGTTTGCAGAATCCAGGCTTCTTGCTTGTCTTGTCTGAGTTGCCTTGAAATCATAATAAAACTTTGGCTTACTTTCTGTAGGCATCAACCAAATGCGACAGTCTGACCCTGACTTTGGGGCCCTGGTTAGGTCTCCCAGCAGTGCCTGCCGTGACTCTGTACAGACATGAGGATCCTTCTTTGGTAAGCTGACTCATTGGCTGCTTGGGCAGTAGCGCCTCAAGAACTCGAGAGCTCTGCATGTGCAGGTTGCTCCCCCTGGGTTTGCAAGCGGCTCTGTTGATGTGATAGAATGGCTTAGAGTGGTGAAATGAAGATGTCAGCCTTACTTGCACAGAGTCCCCTGTAGCCCCTGTAGCTGCTGTGTGTAAGAAAGCCCTTGGCTTAAGCAGGCCTGCCGCGTTGAAGAAGCTGCCTCACACGAGCCGAGGTGACTTGTCCATCTAGTCCAGTCCTGACTGTGGCGCATTCAGACCTCACAGCAAACCGTGGCTTATCATGCTGAGAATGAGCCATAAGCTCCAGACTCATTTACTTCTTTGTCACAGCTGCAACCGTGAAGAGTGCTTCTGAAGCCGTTGCTTCTCTGTTTATTAATCACAGCTTCCCAAATTATCTGAAGCCAGCCAGACAGCTGTTCAGCATCTCTGACTAGCCACCTCAAACCTGAAGCAATTCAGCTTCAGATTCTGGGTTAGGAAGCTGGCTTCTTTCAGCAAAACGTAGGTATGATAAACCACCGTTTAGAGCCAGACAGAACCCTAAACTTCAGGCAATCAAAATGGAAGCCAAAACACCAGAGGAGCGCCATAAGCCCAAGGCTGATAGCAGCTGGTTGGCATCCATACAAGCACAGAAAATCGTAAAGTCAGAACTCAGCCTGTGACCACCAGCAGCTCTCCAGGGTATTAAGCTGTGAAGGGTCTTTCCTTCTCACCTGCTGCCTGACCCTTTCACTGGAAATGCCAGGAATTGGACCTGCCTCTTTCTGTATACATCGCAGGTGCATTACGTTAATCTATAGTCTCAACCAAAAAAAAGTACAGCCTACAAACCATATGGCAGCCCACCTGGTCTTGATCGACCTACTTGTTCCTCTGCCCGTCTGTTCAGGGCAACACAAGCAGAAGTCAGGTGTACTCGCAAACACAGAACAGCCACAAGACGTGATAGGTTGGCTGCCTGTGCCAGTGGATCTCAGGCTATGTCCGTAGGGATTAGAGGGTTCATCCCTTGACCCCACACAATGAAACTGGTGTTAATAAGCTTGTTAAATAAGTTAAATAAGCTTGTTAAATAAGTATGTGTATTTCTGCCCTTTGAGACACTCTCAGAGAGCTGGTGCCAGGGACTCCTTTTCAGTCTGCTTTACACTGGCCACTGATGAATTGCAGGAGAGCTTCCCTGTGCTTTCCATGCTTCGATACTGTGTGAGCGTCGTCTTGATCATTAGCAGCAGTAAAGGGAACACTTGTATGCTACTTGTCATAGTATCGCTAAGTGGTTTGCATACACCCCCTTTTAGATGCTGCAGTCCATCCCGAAATGTTGGAATGTGGCAGCATAATGAATAAATGGCAGCGTAATAAAGCAAGCAGCTGTCATGGTAACATGTTGTTGTTTCTTGCAGTCCTTGGCTGCAGGCCTCACCTCGAGTCAGGCAGTGGAGAAGCTTCGTGCCCTGCCGCTGTGGCTCTCCTTGCAATACCTTGGACATGACGGGATCGTTGAGAGAATAAAACACGCATCTCAGTTGGTAAGATGCTTGAGAAGGTTTCGGGTTCTGTGCCACTACTGTGCGCCAGTGTGTGTTTCGCTCGTGCACTCTTTGCACTTCCTTTCCACCCAGCAGCCTGTTCTCCGGGCAGTTCACAACATGATAAAGCGTAATATAAAGCCTTTAATGTGTAAAAAGAAAATTAAAAACCATTAGTGGTTGTTTGGCTTCCCAAACACAGAGTGAGGTTGAGGTGGCAAATGAAAAGGGGGTCATGATCAGAGTGGGGAGGGAACTGAATAGGCAGATAAAGTTATTTTAGTTGGTAGGAACCCTCTGTCTGGAAAACAGCTGGTGTTTCTCATATATCAAAGGTGCCTAAAATATATTTCTCCACATACAACCTTGATTCTGGCTTGTCACTTCAAATATTAATGAAGTCCGCCTCTTGGCCATTTGTAATGCTTATTCTGTGTTTGCATTTAATCTCCACTAATTTTCTTCTAATAGAGTCAACGACTGTTGGAAAATCTGAAAAACCAGGATTTTATTAAAACCTCAGTAAGTTTCTTTCCTTTTCAATAGTTCTGTCCTTACTCTACAGAGTGCTTGTTTAAGTGGTAGTGGGAGAATCGCAGGCTGTCAGCCTAATTAAGGGTGCAGTCCTCTGCTTATTTAGAGAAAAATGCCCGGCGTCACCCTGGAGACTGCTGGGAGCCATAGGACCTTCTTTTTGTCTAAACATGTCTAGGATTGTGCCCTAAAAGGTAAACAGGAAGACAGAGGTTCTTAGCCCAGTAGAGAGAAGGACTTGTGCCAACGATAGCACACCTTGCATGGCCGTAAAGCTCAACACAAGGAAGAACCTGGTGATCAGAAGTGTGTATGAACGAGGCTTGTTGGACTCGTTCTGTGGCAATGCAGCTGCATAAACTGCGTGCAAGTGTTAACGGAAGCATGTTCGTTTCTAACGGGGTGGAGAATGTGTGGCCCTTCAAATTTATTTGGTCACCAACTCTCATCTGCCCCAGCCAGTATAGTGGGTGGTCAGGTATGATGGGCATTGTAATCTAGCAATGTCTAGAGGACCTTGGGTTCTCCATTCCTCTTCTGAACTAATATAGTAGCTCCATTCTAATTTCATTCTAACTTGAATATTCATGCTGGCAAAAACATGGTTCCAGAATGTTATTTTTTCTTCTCCTGTGCAAATGCTCTTGCTCCATCTTTGAAACATGGGCTGAGGTTTTTTTGTTTTCCAAATTCCATTTCCAAGGTCGAAGATGAGCTTAGTTCTCCCGTGGTAGTATTCAGGTTTGCTCCAGAACTTCCACATATAGGTGAGTACTGTACAGAGAAAATACGTTATATACTCGCACATCAATATTGGCTGATTTTCCAGGAGACCTCCAACCTCCTGCAAAAGTGACTGATACTCTGGTGGCCCTGCTGAATGGGATGGGCTGCAGTGTATTGGGGAAGGAGCCCCCCAAAATGGGCAGAGGAACCTTCCACAAGCAGAACCTTCCCTCATGCGGAAATGTCCTTCCTCTCACAGAAAGCAGGTCCTGAAACCAAATCTTAATGCTACCCTTACAATACTTCATTTTTACATTTACAAAAGGCGGTTTTGGTTCTGGAACATCAAAGTAGTGGGAATGCGGTTTGATGAAGGCAAGGTGAAGAGCTATGTCAAAGAGTCGTGGCACCTTAAAGACAAACACACCTATGATGGCACAAGCCTTCATCAGATGCAAAGCAGCAACTCTCAAAATAATTAAGAGCAAGCTTTTGGGGTACAGTTTAGACACCACAGAAAATAAAGGAACTATCTTTCTTCTTGGAACTGTCAGTCTATGTATCATATTGTATAATGCATGCAGTCTGGCTTCAGGAGAGCTGGAAGCTGCTGAGCCCCTCCTTGTTTTGACAATTTCTCTCTTTCTGTGAATTCAGATCACAGGTTACACGCTGCACAGACCCCTATAGCAACTGGCAATGAGCGATATGTGTGTGATACTTTTACCCAGTGGGTGAGTATGCCTGTTCTTTACCTCTCCTTAAACAGACAAGTGATGGGTAGATCAAAAGCCTGGAACAACTGCTGGCCCTTTGTGTGAGAGGGTGCTTTGCCTCTACAGGGTTGACTTGGCTTAAGGACTTGACACAAGGCTTAATGACTGAGCAAAGGTGTGCAGTTGGCTGACAGGCCCGGCTCGCTTGGAAGCGACAAACCAGGAGACGGCGTTTGGACTTAATGCAAAGCTGTCAGTTCCTGGCCTGTTTAGCCAGTGCTGAGCAAATGGGTCGCGTGTGCCAGCACTCTGCTCATTCACTGTAAAGAAGGGTTAGCCAGCAGTCCTGGCTTCCTGTTACCTGCCAGTGCTTGTCCTGCTGCCACAGCGGAGCAGAAGAAGAAGGTGGCACTGCTCAGTGTACGATGCGGCATCTTTACTGAAGCTAAGCAGATCTGGCAGCCTGACCAGTCTTTGGGTGGGAGACCTCTTGGGAACCCCACATGCGGCAGGGGCCACAGTTTCGGGCTGGGCGTGGTCGGTGTGGCCGCTCTGCCCGCAGCAGTACGCCTGCCGTATGCCAGGCACACCAGGCATCAGGGCAAGCAGGAACCAGGGAAGGCCTGCCCCCCTTTCCCGCAAACCCGCCCTGCGGCACCGTGCCCCAGGCACTGTAGTCAAGGAGGCCCCACGGCCAGTGCGTCCGGACCTGGAGCAGCCTTCCTCCTAACCTCGGGGCTGGGAACGGGGTGGGGCGCGTGTGGCAGGGGGCGGGTTGCCGCATAGGGTCTGGAAGGACCCCACTTGCCTCCGCAGCCCCAAGTCTGGGCTGCTCGTGCTGAGCAAAGTCACGGCACGAGAAGCCAGCCCCCGAGTGCCAGCAGAACGAAGACGCCCCCTGGGAGCAGCGTGTGGGCAAGGCCATTTAAAATGGCGGGAGCAGGCGATGGGCCAGGTTCGCCCGTGCTGTTTGTTGATCTTGCCTTGTCTCTGCAGCTGGGAGAGCAGCTGGCTCAGCTGGTGCCGGCCAGTGGCGTGGATATTGTGGAACTGGAAGACGAAGGCACCTGCGTGCGCTTCAGCCCATTAATGACTTCTGCAGGTAACTTGTCTATTTACCTGGAGGATATTCCCTCATATGGCAGTTATCCCGCTTGCCTAGCCCTTCGGCCCTGTGTGTTCTTGGCGCTTGCTCTGCCTGCTTGATTGTGGCCTTAAGCTGCTCCAGTAGTTTCAGCAGAAGGATTTTATTGGATTTACCTGTGCATATTTTAGTCTACAGATTAACATGAAAGCCAGGTGACAGAGTGATACCAATTTACATGAAAAAAGAGGAAGCAATTTTAGGAGGTCAGAAGTGAGTGACTTGAAATATGTTGGCACTGAAAACTTTAATACGCTTCCGTGTGTCATGGCCTGTGCCATTGCTTTTGGTATCATATTTTAAATGTAATTTTAAAACTTATTCGTGAACTACTTGGGCAGTTCTATTTAGTGGTAGATTATTAACTGTCACAAAGAAAGATGAGGAAGGGAGATGCATGCTTCTTTGATTTGGTCGACACAGCAGGTTTAGACTGCTTTGGAAGAGGCATTTTCTCCTACACCACAAGGAATGCCTGTAAGATGGCTTTTGCCAACTGCAGGTTGTAGAAGTACCCAAAGTAACATATATAAAAATCTACTGTGCACTTAATTGGGAGCACCATTTTAGTTGATTGATAAGAATAACAGTAAAGACAACAAGTTTAATTAATTATTACCTGGAGTACATTGCTGCCCATGTTTTCCCAAGCTCCTAGGGAGATGGTGCATTTGCTTCCTGATCCTGTGCCGAATTTCACGCGTTGGGCTTTCAGAATGGGGTGTGGAAAAGTGCAGAGCAAGTGCCCTGTAGGGGGCGCCATGTCACTTGCTAATGGGTGGCGCGCTTCAGTTTTAGGAACTGAAGTGCAAGATGTTGACCAGTTGGTGGACTGCTTAAAGATGAAGGTTCCAGTACTGACCTGCACACTGCAGCTAAGGGATGACTTTGAGCAAGAAGTAAAAAGAACCATCGGCCTCTCTTACGTCGAAGACCTCAGCTGGCCTGGACTCGGGGTGGTGAGGTGAGTATACTCCTTGAGGCACTTTGAGAGCTTTGGGCTGCATTCAGAAGTATTTATCTTGAGTAATGAACCGCGCTAGCGCCACATCCAGCCCTCATCTGGATAGGCATGCCAGCTTCCAAATGGCTCAGGAGCAGCCAGTCCAGTGTTCGATTTACAAAGCAAGCATAATAGAATTCTACGATTTCCTCAGGAAATGCCTCCCATTGCCCTCAAGAACGTTTACTTACACAGCTCTCCATCTGCCTTGGTTTTGAAAGGTACGAGGGGCAGAATGAAGACAAGCAGGAGCAAGAAATGGAGAAGATTAATAATGGGCTTCTGAAAAAGCTAAATGAGCTGGAATCGGATCTGCAGTTTTCCTTAGGTAACTCAATTTGCCTAAAATGACTCCAGGGATGCATATTTTAAGTTTCTGCATTTTAGAAACCTCACCAAACTGCAACATCTCAGTAATAGTTTCTCTACAAAATGGATTGATTTTACACGTAAATATTATTTAGCTGAAATTGTTGATCACTTAAAACTGGAATGCAGTCCCACAAGAACCACGGGTGGCCCACACTCTTGGCTTTTAGAACGGGGCATGAAGATACTATCTCTTGAATGTAGGGAGAAATCTTGACACTGTTGTGGGAGAGGGTCTGTAAGAGGCCCAGCTCTGAGCAACTGCGCTCAAGGGCAAAGATGATAGGCTGGAGCCCTTAGCCCTGAAATTATAGAATTGCACAGTTATTAATTATGTAGTCTTTCTGATTTTAAGGTTTTCAGGGTTCTTCCTTATTTTATTATCAGTTACTGTTTATCACCTAAGTGGCTTTTTAGCAGATATACACATTAATAAGTGCATAATTGCTTTCATTGTAAAAATTGGTTTTAAAAAAGTCTATAACTCGGAATTATCAGAAATTTGAGGGAGAGAAACGGAAGCATTTCCAACCAGAAGCTGAAGCTGTTGCTAAAAAATAAAAACTGCTATCACAGGAGAGGGTAACCTGAGGCCTGGGGCCCCTTCTGGAGTCCCAGTCCAGCTCTCCCAGCATTCCTCAGGACTGTGCCCGGTACTTCCCGTCCCACCTTGTTTTCATTCAAGCGCCAGTTGGATTCCCAGCACCGCAGGACTTTCCTTATACTCTCATCCCCTTTGCCTTTGGCCAAGCCCAGCACTGGACCGTAGCCCCTGAGGACATCGCCAAGGTTGACTTCAGCCCTCAGACCGAAAAAAGCTCCCCAGCCCCTGTGGGGCAGTTACAGGTTGAAGGATGAAGCATCTGTTCCCTGCTCGAGATGGGAGGCATCTTGAACATAGTGCCAGTTTGCACAACACACCTCTTGTGGGTGGGGAGCCCACTGAGAACACATGCCTCCTTCCCCTCCCACAGGCTCTAAGGGCCAGCGCTAGTAATATTTCTCTTTTAGGAAAATGTCTTACCCACATGTTAAAGCAGATGTTTTTACAGATTCCAAAGTACGTTTGAAATCTCATCTTACCTCTTTTTTTTCTCCTCTCCAGGCCCAGAATTTGGAGGGGAGAAAAACTGCATTTATATCGGAATGGTCACCGAGGATCTAGATGTGTCTGAGCTGGTTGAAACAATTGCAGCGATGGGCCGTGAAATCGAGGAAAATTCAAGGGTATGTACTGAAGCAACAAGGCCACCATGTGGGAGCGGAATGGAAGGTCTCACTGTGCACTGGATCAAATGCTACCTATAAAACCTTAAACTGTATTAATAATATTATTTTTTATAAATCACAGAAGACTCTTAATAGTTTCAGTTGACGTTTTAAGTCATAAGAACACGGGCTGCAGTCTGGAACAACTACTTTAGATGCAGCCAGGGGGTAAGGAATGCCCAGTGGGATTTTGGACTGTGAGTTCATTGAATGGAATGTTACACCATAAACGTTTTTAGAATCTCCCCCGCACCCTTTACAAATGTTGTTTGCCACACGAGAATCACCGCTTAACAAGTGAAGCCCAAATACCCTTAGGTGTGCTGGACTAATTGAATAGTTCTGTACGTCTTCGTTACTCATCACATCGCCCCGTCACGCACGTCACCGTACCAGAGCCAATTTGCCCAGAAAGCTAAGTTAGAGCATTACAAGAACAGGCTCAGGAGAAAATCTGGGCTCTCGCACTCTCCCCTCCACCCCTGCTATGGCTGTGAGGAAGTGATCCAGGGGCTTCTGCTTCCTTTTTACATGATAGTTTAGTGTGCTGTCTGAACCTTAGGTTGTGGTTAATCTTAACCAGTTAGTGGCCAGAAGCCAACTGCAGAAACTCTGGTTTGAAGTTGCCCTCTTTCCACTAACCATAGTTCCTGTTAACCATCGAATGCCGGGTTCAGGCAGCACGGTTAAACTGTTGCTAATAAAAAACGGAGGCAAGACCCTTCCAGTGCTCGTGGCCGTGCTAGAGGGAGCAGGAGGGAAAGCGTATGAGGCAGGTGTCTGGCACAGCGCCGTTGCAGGATCCTGCAGCCAGCCCGGGAGGTGCTTTGCTGGCTCACTGTTCCTTGCAGGGTATCTTCACTGGCGTTTTTAAAATTCCTTTTTAAAAACAGTAGTTTTCCACTTCTTCCAGTGTGGGGCCAGCTTTAATTGCAAGCTGCTAGGCGGCAGCCAGTGGCGTCGCTCGTTCCTGCTTTTCCCCTCTAAGAAAGTGATAGAGAACCAGCCACCACTGGGTGGTGGGGATCCCAACTCCCATTAGCCCCAACTAGCATGCCCAATGAGCAGGACAGTGTCAGAACGTGGGTTCCGCGGCCACTCCAGGATGCTCAGGTGCAGAGGAGGATGGTGGTGTAGGTGAGGCAGGGGACACCCCATGCCTGAACGGGGTACCTGGGCAGTAGATGCAGCTTGCCCTGCGTGAATAAGAGGCTGCACTCGGCATTCCCTCTTCTACACATTTGTGAAGCCACAGAACTACAGAGGCCTGCCACCCTTTCCGCCTGGCCGCCTTCTCTCTCTCCTTTCTCTTAAAAGACAAAGGTGGTGCTGCAAAGGCACCACTGTCCCTCTTAGTCTCAGCACCCTCCACTTTGGACAACCCGAAGACAGTCTCATACCAGAAAAGAAAGGCCTTGTTGGAGAGAAGGCTCACCCTCCGCCCCAGTCCAGTGCTTGCTTGGCTTCTCACCCAAATCAGTGTGTATTTATCTATTCAGTGGGTCCTGCAGTGAGATTCCCTCATCACTCGTAGACTTCAGAAGATATTAAGCACAGTGGAGCTGATAAATGAACGAAGCTCACATTAATCATGGGCTTGGGGGCTCCCCTGTTCCGTTTTCCTCAATATCTTACGATTAACTTGGTTGTTGCAGACAGCTTCCCTGTCTAGGGTTTTTTTTTTTTTTTTAAAGAAACAGCTTGTAGTTCCTCCCTTTTAATTTCAGTCACTTCTGCAACGCTGCAGGCAATTAAGAAATGGATTTTCCTTCCGCCGAAAAGTAACGAACTTCCCACCGCTTCAGACTGCAGCTTGTTGATTTTCCAGCTGTCATCGGTGACAAATCCAACACGGCCATTAGCATACTGATTAACCGGGGCGGGGGAGGAGGGAATGGCTAATACATTAGAGAGGTTTTGTCTGCATGGATGTGCTAGTCACCCTTCCTCTCCCAACTGCCTGCAGACAGTGCTCATGCCAGCTCTTACTCCTGTGCATCCAGGTGGCATCCTCTGACCAAGCCTTCCATAGCCTGGTGCCCTCCAGAAGTTCCTGGATTACAGCTCCCAGCATTTCTGATTCTTGAACATGCTGGCTGGGACTGATGGGAATTGAAGTGGAGGGTGGTAACAAGGGGGAGGGCTTTCTCAGTGCCCCCCCCCAATCTATGGCATAACTTCCCTGCTGCAGCCCAGCTGGCACCATATCTGTCCTGGTTTTGACACCTGGTGGAGATGGCCCTCTGAAGCCTTTAAAGACTGACTCAGCCATCCGGGGGCTTGAGGGGAATCACCAGGCGTTTCACAGGGTCATTCTTTTCTGTTATTCCTTGTTCTTGACTGCTTTTATTAGCTGTTTTTAGCAGTTTAAAACATCTTAATATTTTTCTTTTATATTTTCATTGTACTCTTACCATCTGTTTGTATGGACTGTGAAAATTTGCCCAGAGAGCTTGTCATCAGGTGGTACAGAAATGAAATGAGTAAATAAATCAAACCTCCAGAGGGCAGCAGGTGGAGAAGGCTGGACTGGCCAGCCGGTCTGCGGAACTTGCTTGCACCAATGTAACAGAAGTGCTTAGCATGGATGAGCTCCTCTCCTATAAACCGGAATTCTAGCAGGCTCTCAACTTGACGACTGCCAGTGCAGAATTCCTCTCCTCTTCCAGCTAGCTCCCCCATGGCAAGGCATTGCTTGGTGCATTTCCTGAGCTAAACCCTGAGCGGCGTTGCAGAATTTCTTCTGTTTGTCGGGCCCCTTTCATGAATTCTGTTGTCTGTAGGCTATGCACTTACTCATGTTTGTAATGGTATCGCCATTAAAGAACATGTCTTGCAATCAGAGTCTCCCTTGACCAACAACCTAGCAGTATTCCAGTTAACCATGTTCATAAAACAGCTTTATGGAACCCCGTGCTATAATTTACGAAGTGCCATCCCAGTTAAATTCTGCAAGCCCAGCAATGCAAGAAACATAAATAACGTCCACGGTTTGGTTTGCTTTTGTTTGAATCAGCTGCTAGAAAACATGACTGAGGTTGTCCGAAAAGGCATCCTGGAAGCACAGGTTCAGCTGGAGAAGGCCAATGAAGAAAGACTTCTTGAGGAGGTGAGCACCTCTTGTTAAGCCCCATTGCCTCCGTCCACCACAGAGGGGCAAAGCACTGCATGGCAAGACCCCTGTCCCCCCCACATGCACCCACCCGCGGTTTTTTCCCCCCCAGGGGCTGCTCCGACAGATTCCTGTAGTGGGCTCCGTGCTGAACTGGTTTTCTCCATTCCATGCGTCACCAAAGGGACAGACCTTCAACCTGACAGCAGGTGGGATGACGTTTGACCATGCCAGCGATTACAAGACTCAACCAGCTGCAGTGAATTAGTGGGCACCTCACGATATGTGGGGGCGGAGGAAGGACGGAGGAGGGTCCTGTGCCTCTCCAGGCATTTCTCTCTCCTCCATCCCCTGCTTCTGGGCCTCATGGAGGCACCTGATTGCTTAGGATCCTGGGAGATGACTCCGCCAGACCTTTCCTATACTCTTAATCTAATGCAGGGTGGGAAACCTTTTCCTTGTCAAGGTCGGCATTACTTCAGTTGCTACCTGTCAGGGCCTGCATTGGCTGGAGGCAAGAGGTAGCAGAGTTTACAGATGTGACTCTTTACCTTTTGTTCTGTATCCAACAGGAAAATAAACCCCCAACATTTTCATTCAAGCATATTTCTTCCCCAGGTTGTGCAAGGTTCCCCCATCAGTTCTGTATTCAGGGGACAGAGCAGGAAGAGAAAAGCAGTACCTACCTGTCCTGTGCGGGGGCCATGGGCAGAGGAGGGTCCCAGGTTCAAATTGAGGGGTCTGGAGGATCTGCCTATGGGCTGGAGATACCGTGCTGGCTCAGCACTTTGTCCCTTCTTCTGGAGCAAGAGCTGCAGCTCTGGAGCTCAGGGCCAAAGAGAGGGTACAGAAGCTTGGCAGTGGGATCATGTGGGGCCACCTGAGTCATAGCCAAGCTGCAGGTGCTAAAAGTAGCACCTGAGCTGACATGCCAGGAGACACCACCGCCAGCCTCCAGCCTTGAGACATTTCCATGTGGAAACCAAACTGGGAGAGGCAAGGGAGCATCCCAAACGTTTCCAGTCTGAAGTTCAGCGAAATTTGCAGTTGTTTGCAGATATCATGCAATTAGCTAACCTGTTGAACCCAGAGCTGATGTTATCACCACCCTCGTTCTTTGGCAGGTTCTTTAGAATCTACAGAGTCCACCTATGTCTCCAAAGTACAGGGCACAGGGACCACCCCACCTCCTACCCCCACATCCAGCCGTGCCAAACAAAGGCTTCCCGGTAAGTCTCTCCTCTCTTCCTCTGCAGAAAAGCTTCTAAGAATTGTTTCCTCTTGCTTAACCCCTTTCTCGAACGTTTTGTCCTAGGACAAAAGCTGTTCAGAAGGTCTTTAAGGAACTCCGATGGGTTCAGTGAGACGAGTTCAGTGAGCCATATGGATGACTTGGACAGAGCAGAGCAACGCCCTGCAGAGCAAGAGCGTCTGGAGCAACAGAAGCCAGACGAGAGTGCAAGTCGGGCCTCGGAAACCGCTGAAGGCGCCTCGCACGATCAGGGCCAGACCCCAGGAAATGGCTGCACAAAACCCGAGGAAGAAGAGAGCCTGAGATAAAAGCCCAATACTGCCCATTAAGACTTTGTACAGACAAATGCAGTCCCTCTCCAGCAGGGTAATGTAAGGATGCATTCAAAATGTGAACAGTGCCACAGTTAGCACAGTAATAGCTACTGCTAACCTGACTGGAGATTTTGCACAAAGATTAGTGGAAGAATTCTTCTCTCCTCCACCCCCTTTACCTTCTTTGTGGGGCCTTGTTTTTACTGTACACTTTGCTATGATGCCTCTTTGTCCTGCATACCTTCACATTGCCAAGGTTGTGTTTGAATGGCTAGTAAACATTTGCCTCTCTGCCAAGGAGCATGCAAGTGACCATTATGGCGGTGCACCCTAAAGATGATTTGTTTATTTTTTTAAAAAAGATAACTTTCCCAGGTGTCTCTTGATTTTTAGGTTGAGCAATTAATTGCACATGGTGCTTTTGGGGAAGAGAGGTTAATTCCTAACCTGTTCAATAAGACTTCCACTTGCCACTATCTTATTTTTCAACATCCATGTTCCAAGGTGAACAAATCCGTCATGACCTTCGCTAGACTTTTAACCTTAGACTTCATTTTATAACTCGCTTATTTTTTAAGAAAAATTCTGCAGACGTTTTCCTCATATGTGCATGTATGAATGTCTGAGCCCTACACCGTCCGGGCTGTCTTTCTGTCCCGCTGTAGACCTTTGTGTTCTCACAAGGCCTGAAGGAGCTGGATCACTAAGCTCTTCCAGCATTTCTGACACGTCACAGTGCCCCTTTCCCACTTTCAAGACCGCTTGGAATCAAACACGACTGGGACATTTTGCATCACTCAGAATATCTTGAGTCACGCCCTTTTGAAAAATGATGGTGAAACATTTGAACTGACGTTGAATGTCTGCGATGTTTCCTGGTCTGCTTCTTCTGGATTGTTTTCTGATCTGATCTATTTTCTGATCCATTTTTCCTGACATTTGTTAGATAGTGTAAATACCCAGAGAAATTATTAGACTAAATGCACTGCTGCACTATTTAAAAAACTAACTCCCTGAGCTAGCTTTTTGTTTAAATCCCCGAGCAAATATTCGGAAGCATATTTCTTCTCCCATTAATTATGTGTTCACTTTTGGGATTGCTCCATTTCTGGGCCTGTTGAATTTGCATCGCATCAAACCAGGAGAAAGTTAGTTGGAAGGAAGGAAGGAAGGAAGGAAGGAAGGAAGGAAGGAAGGAAGGAAAACAAAGATAGTTGTGTTGATCACAAGAAAATTTCCAAAATCCATGTGGCTATTAATGTTTTTGGCCAACCAAAAGATCATCAAAAAATGGTGTGAGCTTTTGAAATACTCAGATCTCTTCAGGCAAGATACAAATGTTTCATAACTATCCCTGCAGAAGAGCTTTTCAGAGCCTGCATCTCTGGATGATCTTTTGGTTAATTCTAAGAACCATGTAACCATTCGCCACATGATTTTAAATTCATGTGGTTTAAAAAAAAAGTGTTGCCCAAACAAGGATTAATTCTCTCTTTGTGAAGGGCCTTTCTTGCAGTCAATGTCTGTGGCGTTCCTTCTTGCGGTTTACCTGTTTGCATAAACTAGGTACGGTCTACTCCTAAGCTACTGGAGATGTGAACCTCATCCTAGCCCAGGCAATGCATTAAATGTTGGCTGTTCACCAGGGACCACTCTACTCTGTAATGCAATAGTAGCAGCCTAGGCACCGAAAATGAGTGTTTATCAACAAGAGAGGAAATGCCCAAATGAACTGCAGGGTCACGGCAACAGGAAATGCTCACTGGAAGAGAGAACCTAGAGATCCTCTGCTTTTCAACCCAGACACAGAAATGGCTTAGAGAACCTGTGTAGCAAAGGGCCCAACTAGATACCATGGCAAAGACCTAATTTCTTCCTGCTCCTTCACAATAGTTAGTTTAAGTGAATGAGGTCAACTGTATGGGAAAGGTAAGTTCTGTTGGTGTTATGGAAACGGAAGTGAGAACTTAAGATGCACAGGATCTAGTTTTAGGTCTGTATAACTGGACTGGTGAATTCAAACTTCTCTTTCCCCTCAGCAACTCTCCAGTCCCTTCCAAGTGTGATACAGAGGTCAGGGCAAACTTGATGAGCTGTAGGGTAGGAAGGGGGCCTCCAAAAATTTGACGGGAGAACTGCCTCTAAGGGGAGTCCTTCCATCCACAGAAGTAGGATCATGTCCATAAGGCAGTCTTCTCCAATGGCCATGCTGACCTGGAATTCTGGAAGCTGCAGTCCAACCCAGCTGGAAGGTACCAGGTTGAGAACGGTTTCCACCATGTTTCTTCCAACAGCAGGTTTAGTTCTCAGCCAGTGGTAGTCCAGGGCTCCAATGTCACGGAGGTGGTTACTCACTGCAGGTTGCAGAATGAACTTTAAGGGAGATAACCAGAATGCTGAACCCTGGCCCCAGGTTAGTCTCAGGACCACGGAAAGCTCCTTAAAGGTGATGACCACAAACCTGAGTGAGTACACTGTCCCATCTTCTGCTGTCTTCACCAAGCTAATTTCCTTGATGAGCTCGGCTAGAACAAGCTTGCAGTGGCCTCCAAATCATTCTAGCGAATTCCAGTGGCCCGAATGGCCGCAAGGGTTGTGGACTGAGAGCTGCTGGTGGTCAAGCGCAGTCAACTCGCCCTCCGGTATGAAGGATGGGGAAATGTGCGCTGGCACAGCGGGGTTGCTTTCTTTCTCGAAATAAGGGTTGACTTTTAAAATGCAAATTTGATTCCTTGTCTTCCTCAACCATATATTTGGTGCAATTAATTATATATTAACTGGGGTTCATTGAGGGGAAAGGGTTAAAGTTATAATCGTTAATACAAATTTTAATGTTTTTATATGGTTAAGCTGGCAGTTTTGCTGGAATACAGACCTAATTTAGATACCTCCCAAATGCTTCAATAAAAGTTCCTCAAATTGTTACATGTGAGTTTGTGGTGTTCAAAACTTTGCTAGTGAAAACTTTTAAATGCTTTCGTTAGTTCTTTTCATTCCTAGACCTGAAGGTCCTCTGGGCAATTCACAAAAACTATTCTGATCATAAAATTGAATCAAACTATTTTGAAAATACAGTGTTGCACAGTGTATTAGCAACTGTGTTTACAAAACACAAACTGATAAAAGCTTAAGTGAGCTTGCTTTGGTTACAGGAGTTTCTTTGTGAATACAAACCTTGTTAAGAGAGCTGTCAGCAATGATTTACTGTTTAACAGTGCCCATAATATAACCAAACCCAATTTTCCAAGACACAGAGTAATGGAAGTGTTAAAGAGTAATACTAAGCTTCCTGCAAACAAGATTTGCACATAATTCCACAGGCATCAGGGTTCTCAAAAACAGGATGTGCTACCATAATCTGTGAACACCTTTTCACAGTATCCAAGGGCATACTAAGGCCAAAAAGCAAAATATTTTCACAAACGACTATCATGGACTATGACCCAGAAGCAACTTGCCAAAAATCCAACACAAAGGTGAGCAGAATTCAGTCCAGTGAAATTAAGGAAATTGTGTTCATCTCAGAATCCAGAAAAAAAAAACCCAGACTGCATCATGACAGACTTACCAGAAAAAGGAATACATAACACAAAATTATGAGCCAGGTGAGCACTGCACTGTCAGCGCGGATTAGGAAATCACGTATCAAACCACTGGAAAGGTGACCATTTATCTGTTATAATTACTTCCTGAGCACAGACTAGTGAAGTACATATTCTGCAAAGTGAGAGGAGGAAGACGACATGCCACTGTCAATTTTGCTGCCATTTCAAGTTCTACTGGTGCAGAATTCCATGTGTGTTTTCATGCCCCAACATGTACACATTCTTACACAGAACTTTTGCTGGAAATGGCCTGTTTTGCAAACGTTTCCCTATGGAAGGTTTCTCCGTGCTGTTTCCACAGCTGTGCAGCTGTGTGTGCAGCCCTGATGAGTGCATTTTGTGAGCACAGAGCTGTAGCACTAAACCTGGGAAAGTGCAAATTTTGCCATGCAGTGACGCTCAGATGCCTACTGCTTCATTGTGGGTATCTGAACCTTGTAAATCTGCAGTCAACGAGTGAATGGAACACGTTCTCACCCATCCTTTACAAGCTGATGGGCTTCCCTGCCATCAATTCTTGAGCTCATGTTGAAAAATTGAGTCATTTCCCATAAAAGAAAAAATAGTTGCAAAGGTGTGTTCGCATCCTACTTAACGCATCTGACTTGCCGCCTACTGAAATAGAAGAGTCACATCTACCTCTGCCCCTTTGACTGTGGTCGCAACTCCCAGTGGACTCCAAGAACACAACAGGAAAAGAATTCTCCTCGTTGCAGAATGAGACACCAAGCACACCAAAATACCAAGAGTGAAGACTCCTCCACACCTCCAAGTTACTGCTCCCCTCCTCCTCACACAATTTTTCTTCTGCAGAAACATCAGGGAACTCAAACACATGCAAATTAACAAGCAAATTGGTCCAGCTTTTATTCAGCAGGAAGTGGAGAGAATCCCCAGTTCACTGTCATTTACAATCACCCTTTTAATCGCTCATTTGTACATCAGCAAATCATACAGTCGATCACAGAAAAAACTACATTAGCTGACAAGTTAAAACTTCATTTTTTTAAATCCCTTGAACATGACAACATGAAATGCTTTTAAATGAAATGTTAGTCTTTACCTGATTTGTGCCTCCTTAAAAAATGTTAAGGGCTGCATGTTTCCATCCCAGTTAAATACCTTATGCAGTTCCAATTCACTTGGCAGGCCTTGCCCAGAAAGCCTCCCATTGTGGTGATTTGCACCATATTGTTTTAAAGTCTTGACTAGACTGAAGAAATAGAAAAGTTAATCATCAAGAACGTGACTATGATCAAGTATACATGGAAATTCCTTGTGTGCAGCGGTTTCCTTCATTAGCACATTTCACACTGCATTTATGAAGCTGCCTGTTTCCCTAAAGAAAACTACAGAAGCCCTCAGAAATTGTTAAATCTGGTATACACCGTGGTAGGAAGCATTTGGACACCACAGACCCCAATGCAGCCCTCACCATCCCTTGAAATGCAGGATTAAACCCCTCGTTCCTCTGCATTTTTTAAATGACAAAGCATCTCAGTTAACTGAAAGCTAAAGATGCTGGCTGAGTTATTTGGCAAGAGCGGAGCCACGGCATACAGGGAAGGGGTCACAATCCTTGGACCCTGAGAGACAATACAGAAATAGGCAAAGACACAGAAATCTGCACAAGCTCCACTCACACAGAACTGTTGGTAGGCCAGCAGCAAGAAAGCAAACAGTTCATGTTAACACATGTGCATGCAGGCGCTCTCCAAAAAGCAAGAACGATTACAAAAGCAAAATCCCTCTTCCAGATGCAGAACGGATCTTGCAGGCTTTGCCATTCAAATAATAGCATTAATTATAATCATCAATACCATCTTGGAAAGGGGGTGGCGCAGATCATCCTTGGTCATTGAAAGACACTGCAGTTTGAGTGCCGAACTTGGATAAAATCTCATTAGCAAACAGAAGGCGGGGAACAAAGATGATGGATTTATACCACTTTGCACATGACAGCACAAGCAAGCACATGGCTTCCCACCGCTTTGCTGCTTCCACTTCGCACGTGCTTCCATAAACAAGTTTGGGCTTTGTCGTCAGGTGTTCCCAAGGAGCGGCTTGGGAAAGCGGAAGCAGAGCAAAAGCAACGGGGTTGAGGCAAGCAGGCAGGCAGGACACTCACTAGAGGCAGCATGACCCTGCCAGTGCAGGTTTCATCAGCCGCGCCCTGGCTCTGCCTGCACACCAGGCCTGCCCACAGGCACCTGGGAGCCGAGTGCCCACGGCGCTGCAGACGAAGCCCCGTGATGGGTGCCTCTGGTGGAGAAATGCAGCGGTTTAAGAAAGGGCCCTCAACAGCCAACATGCCGCTGATGCGTCGCCTCTGGCCCCTGATCCAGTGCTGACCTCAAGAGCTGGCACCCGAACCCGGCAACCGTGGGCGGTTCCCAGACCCCACGGCCCCCCGCATGCAGTACGACCGGCCTCCTCCTCCCCACAGCATTGCACTGTCTTCTAGTGCTCGCAACCAGGTCAAGCTGCCATTTTTACAATTCCCAAGATCCCCCAAGAACAATGCAAGAGAACTTAAAGGGGAAGCGGGGCCACATGGATTCTGCCCAGACCCGACGCCAGCCTGGAGCTCCATCCAATGGCCGGCCCCCAAGCCCCACAAAAGGACAGACCTCGGGAAGGAAGGGGCTACAGGGAACCCTGCTTAACGTTTCCAATCCTCTTGCAACTACATTTCATTCCAGAACATGCACATCCGGACCGCCCTCCTGCGGTCCAATCATTTGGGCTTTTGGGAATATACCCATTTTTAAGGGCACGACACCTTGCGAACAAGGACACTTCAGTTAGTTCACTTGGCAAAGCCGGCCACAACGTAATGCGCAGCCCCCACCCCTCGGACCGGCCGCTCCTCCTCTAGCACAACCACGCAGAGTCCCCTTGGCTCCTCCTCCTCCTGCTAGATCAGATCTGGTCGGAAGAGACCCTTTCCCACAGGCCATCTGTGTTCTTCCGGTAGCGCCACGGTTTTCTGCTAGGAAACAGGGTCTTGTGGGGGAACGGGTGCTCTTTCAGATACGTCAAGGTGGCTCGAATATGGGACACAAAGTGAGGCGGTTCTGCCTGAGGCGACGTGGAGAGGTTCTGGAAAGAGAAGTGCTGGGGGCAGTTACTCCTTGCAAGCCAGCTCCCCAACGTTCTCCAAGCAGCCTCTGCCTCGTGCACCAAGTGCGGCAGAGCAGGGGGGCCTCAGACCCGGGCTGCAGAGACCCTGCTCCGAACCCCAAGCGGAGCGTGACGCTCTCTTTGGGCGGGTCGGGGCCAATCTTTCAGCCTCCTCTACCCGTGCAGGGTTGTTAGGGAAATCAAATGCCGGACTGGGCACTCCGAGTGCTACTCCCTGCTTGGCCATGACGCCTGCTGGGTGACTGCAGCCCAGCCACTTACTCTCAGGCAAACCCCCCTCATAGGGGGGCTGTTGTGAGGATGAAATGGACCGGCGGAGAACGGCGAAAGGAAAGGGAGGGAGATGGAGGGACAGAAATGCAAGGGACGGAGAGTAATAACAACGTGAAGTAAAAGTCCAGGGGACTCAGGAAGCCTCCAGTTCAGAGCCCCCCCTGTGCCAGCTCCCGGGGCTCCATCCCTCCATCTCGCCGATGAACCCCCGTTACCTGCAAGAGGTGCTGGTCGTCCTGCTCTAGCCAATAGTCCACGAGGGGGAAAGGCAGCCAGAAGTAAGGCCCAATGCAAAGCTGCTCCTTCCTGGAGTCATAGATGTTCACCATCTGCGCCAAGAGAGGAGGGGCGTGCTCTGCCAGGGGCTCTTGCTCCGAGGAGCTGCCATTGCTTACGCACACAGCTGAAACCCCTAGACGGTCTCCCACTTCCCAGGAATGCAGCCACCAGCGGCTCTGTGCACTTCAAGCAGGGCTCCCCAAGCAGGGGAGCGCTCCCCAAGCTCTTTGGGGAAGGAGGACACACGAAGAGGCTTGAGAGTGTCGTGGGCACCCTCGCAAAATGGCTGCACAGGGGCACTCTGCCCATTGATCTCTTGGCTGCCATGGTGGGCAGAGCCAACCCAAGAACACACCTCTCCCAGAGGCGGAACCGGTGAGACCAAAAGAAAGTCGCTTTCCCAAGTGCAAGGCCAAGGTGAGGCACAGGCGCCAGGTAACTGCAGCCTCGGAGAGCAGCTTTCGCAACAAGCCGGCCTCTCACGGGAAAACGGGTTTAAAATGCCGATTGCCACAACAAAAGCCAAACAAAACGAGAAACAGCAATAAATTGGTATCCGATCCCATACAGGAGTGCCAGACCTTTGTCCAACTCTGCTGTTCCAACCCCATGTACCACACGAAATTTTACAAAACGCTCTCGTGTTCGTCTTTTCCCCAAACTGAAGGTGATGGGCTGAATCCAGACTTGGGCCATACTTAGACTAGACTCATTCCGTTTTATGGAACGTAAGCCAGCCATCCCTGACCTATCTTGATTTCAACGGCTCCAGGTTAAGCATGAGGAAATCTGAATCCAACCCGGTTTTAATTCATGGCTTTTCTCCGGGTCAAAAGCCTAATACGTTTGAGCTCTTCCCATCCGCACTACAATTAGCGCATCAGCTTGGAACAGAGTTGGTGACTTCTGCCCTTCAGCTGTTTTGGCCCACAACGCCCGTAACCCTTCCCCATCATCCACGCTGGCTAGTGCTGATGAGGCGTGTAGGTGAAACATCAAGAACTGTCCAACCCCAATTTAGGAGCATCAGCAACCCAAGGAAGCCCCAGCACAAGTGGGTCACTCATCTGCCCCCCCCCCCACCCAAAGCATGCCTGGCTCCTCCAAGCACCCCCTCCACTCACCTTTGCTCCTGTAAAGGTCCTGGCCGACCGCAACTCCTCATTGGGCCCCCGATCTGGAAATGTTGCATGGAAAATCTCACCTGTTTTAACATTTGCAGCTGGAAAAGCAAGAGCAGAACTCGAGTCCACCTTTGAACAGTGTCCGTACAGAAGATGAACATTTGTTCTCTCTGCTGCTCCAGAGAGTAGGACCCAAACAAACAGATTCAAGCGGTAAAGTAAAAGTATTTTGACTAAGAAGAGTACCCTGGGGACAGCAGCCGCTCCACGGTGGTGTAAAGGACCCTCAAAGATGGTGGACACTCCTCCATTGTATTTTATACGTGGAGATCAGAGGGTCCACGTATGCGGGATGCTGCAGCAGCCCGTTTTCTGCATCAGTCTAGATGACTGTTGAGGCCCCTTCTGACCCAGTAATTCTAGAACTGACCGAGGACTGAATGACCAAACCCTTCCCCATCCCTCTGCACAGGGCCAGCAACAACCTTACACCAGGCCGGAGAACCTCTTTCAGCCCAATGGTGAAGACATTTTCCAAGAAACTCTTGGAAACACCTTCCCACTGAGACTGAGCAGACACACCAAACCCAGCCCTTACTTACCAATTCCATAAACAAATGGAAAGTGGTTGCCTTTCTCCTGCCGATCGTTCAATTCTGTCGTTCAAAAGAAGAGAGAGAGAAAAGAAGTGAAATAGTCTAAATCCTCCGAAGAAACAGGGAGATCATCAGTAGAGATGGTCAAAGGTAAGTAGGCCAAGAGACAGAATGATGCGGAGTGTCTTGCTCCAGCGGGAAATGGGCTGAAGAGGCAAGATGGCATGCGGGGAGCCTAAGTTGAGGAGGAGAGCAAGAAAATATGGCAGGTAAGGGAGAAAATTACCTGTCACACAGAAAGTCACAAGATGGATGTCCTCCTGCAGGCGGTCGAAGGCTCCTGGGAATAACAGCACAGAAAAGTGCAAAGGGTCACTAGAAGAAGGCAGTTCACAGAAACTACTGGGAAATGCTACGTATGAAAGTCAGGGTTGCTAACTGTTCTGTCCCCACGATGCTCGTGGAAAGATGACTGAGGCCCAACAGCTGCAAAGTGGGAGGGCAAAGTTGGAGCCAGCCACAAAATGGCGGCAGGAGGAGGCAGCACAGAGCATGAGTGGATGGTCACAAACTGGGCCAGGATGAGAAATGCTGATAGAACATAGAAACACAGAAAACAGAGCAAGTCAGAAGGGACCTCCCGGGCAATCTAGTCTGACCTCCGGCACCAGCCGGCTCCACTCATGACATGCCCACCATGTGGATGTCCAGCCTATCCTTGAACACGCGCACCGATTGGGGATTGATGGGGACCTCAACATGGATTGAGGTGTTTCAAGTCTATTTTCTGGGCCCCACCAGGACTCCCCAGTGGCAACCACCTGTTGGCAACAATGCCAATTCAACAAGGAGGTGCCAAGCGCTCACATCAAAACGATCTCGCTTCCACTCCAGGCCCAACAGCACGGCGAGGAAAGCCAAGCCTACATGGGCTCCCAGGGCAAGGAGCTCCATAGCCATGGCAGCGCCATCCAGGTTGCCTAGAATTCTAGTTGCCCATTCAGACCAGGGACTCCCAGCGTGGGGGGTCTGCCTCCGCAGGGGGTGTGAGACAGCATTTCAGCGAAGCAACCAAGAGTGCAGCTGCATCATTTTTTGCCAAAAATTGTCCCAATAATGACATTATTATTATTTTGCTTGCATCTGGAATCAGCTCTCGTTTGTCCATCAAGACAAAATCTAGGAATCTCCTGAATCCACAAGCAGACTCACGGATCGCCATCAGCAAGGAAGCTCCACATTTTGACAAAATCGTGAATGAGAAGCAAGAACAAAGAAGTCATTGGATTTTATGGGGTTGTGCTTACTGTTTACAATTTTTTCTAACTGCTCAATTTATATCTGAATTTTATGCACTGAGTTAAAAGCTTCTTAAGTTCGATTTGTTCACCCACAGTACTGTATGTGGTTCAAAAATCAGAAATTTGACTTCTTCATCTTCAAATGTGGTATTATTTTTGTAGGGGGTGAGAACATTACTCAAACATTTTCTAGGGGTGCAGGGCATAGAAAAGGTTGGAAACCACTGCTTTAGACTATATGCCGAGCTTAGCAAAACAAAACAAAAAAAAACCTTGCTTGCAAAGCCTTCCAAAGCCACCATTTCCCAATCTGTCTGGCCAGACAAATGCAACCCATCACTTGCCAGTTCAGAGAATGCACTGGAAAAAAGAAATGGTCTGGGGATGTCAAAAGTTTTATTCCTCAGATAAACCCTCTGCCATATAGTTTGGGCCTTCTTCAGGGGTTCAGCTCTTTCCAAAATTGTCTACAAAGATCTTTGAAGAGATATTGCTCCAATATGAATCCTGCCTCTGGAAAACTACTTTAAGGAATAAAATTAGCATTTTTTCAGGGTCCTGAAATGTATCTTCCTTTTTTCCGTCAGCTAATTTTGAGCATTCTCCGGTTTTGTCTGATCCCGAGTTCAGACAATCATACTGAACCCTAGTTGAATTTCTTTCATCGTGGCTTGGGCTACATCTGAAGAGCGCCTCTGTGGGCAGAAGGCAGCATCTCGGTGTCACTCATAGACCTTGGCTCCTACCCAAGCTGCACAGCAACAGAATTATGCAAAATACAGGCAAAGGTGCCCAACTAACTTGCAGAACATCGGTTGCAGAATTCAGTTTTGCTCGGTGCAGAAAAGCTCCCATATAAGCCCTCTGTATTCCCAACAACTCCCATCTCTTCCCAGGTGCTGCAAATTTGGCTCAGCTCCAATCAGCCTCCAAAAGCTGGACTGAGAGGGCAGAAAAGAAAATGTGAGCTCACTCAGAAGTTGACTGGTGAGTCGCTCGGATAAGAGTCTGTCATCGCAGAAGCCTCCAACCAGGTGTACTTCCAGCCTAAGAAAAAGATAAGGAATTCAGAGACACAGTTGACAAACCGAATTAAACCAACTGACTGGGATCCCATTTTAATCGGCAGGGCTGCTCTTCCGTTTGCTGTGGTTCTGGGCAAGATACGAGATCCTGCGAAACGGGTTTGTACAAACACAGTCACTAAGGGACAACCAAAGTGTTTCTCCAGCGGCAAGTTCACCTCGCTTGCCTCGCAACTTCATCGGAAGGGCACCTCAATGCAGGCTCTGAACTGCTGCCCATCTATTCATGCATTGCCATTTGGCCATCGAGAGCACAATCCCACGGCCCCTCAACATCCGGGGCGGGGGGGGGGGCGGGATTGCTCAGAGCCTCACACTGAGGTCTTCTGTCCTCGGACGCTCTCACAACTGACATGGAAAAAACTGTGTGGGCTGAGAGCGGAAATGCACCCGGGGGGGTGTGCCGGGAGTGGTCAGGGAGGGGAGGAAGCAGAGGCTGTGATCTACGCTGATTTCTATCAGCACCCCCGTTTCCTTCCCTCTTTCTCCCTGGAGCTTTAGTTGAAAATGACATCCAGAGAAAATGATGGTGTTGCAATGGGGCTGGCGATCGCTGGTTTGCACGCGCCACCGGAAGCGTGCGAGCCTTTGGGTTTGGGGATTCTCAGTATTAAGGGTGGGGGCGAGACGTCTTTTTATGGACAGGTCCCTTATGACTTGAACTTCGGCGAATGGGGCGGCATAAAAATGTTTTAATAAATAAATAAAATAAATAAACTGCTGTTTAACACGCCAAAATCTTCCCATCGCCGCACGTCATGCTGGTAAAAACTGCCCCATTTCCACCTTTGTCTCTCCTTCTGTCTGATCCATGAATCTACTCCTGGCTGATTTCTGAGCCATCTGGATAAAATGCTCGGGGCAAGACAGCAAGGCGGTGGGAGCCTCTGGCCTGCCTCACGCTCCAGCCACCGGATGCTGGCAAAGCTCTCAAGCTTACACACGTCTGTGCACCGACAGGATTTTGCTCTTATTTTTTACTGATCCCTAAGTAACTCCAACTTGGTTTTGAAAACTGGTGACCTATTGTTTACATTTAATTTATTTGTATAACATTACTATTACATGCATATTCTCACATTTGCCTAATTAGATTTTCAGTAAATTATAGTTTGCCTGGAGTTGTAGAGGATTTTAATAAATTACGGTAATTCTCTGTAATGCACCATTTCACTAAAGTATTATTTCTTTTAAAAACTGACCTTCCACATTCTATGTTAGGAGACAACACTTTTACTGCATTAGTTAGCAGCAAAACTTCAGTTTCTGTATCTGATCCATCGCAGTGAGTGAGGCAAATGGCCCCGCTACCTGGAAAAAAGCAAGAATAAAAACAGTTTACTCCTTAAAGAACTCTGCAACTATTGAAAGGCATTTTTGGCAAGAATTGGCCTGATCCTAGGAATGAGGCTAACACTGACAAATACTGTCTCCTGACTCTGTTCCCTAAAATGGATGGGGATTGCCATGCTACTCCCAAGAAAAAGTCCTCATGATCACTTAAGGGAATCCTCAGCATGCTTTTGTTAAGACAGAGTGAATTTTGCCCTCCTTGTACTCTCCAGGTTCTGCTCCATCTAAAATGGAAATATTTTTCACACATCTGGATTATTTAGCTAACCTTGCCTGGGAAAAGCACAGAAGGAAAGCCTTTTCCAAAACCGTCAGTCCCTCCTTCGACTTCATGGACAACTGGCTCACAGCAGCCCACCTTCTATTTCCAGAGTTCTGGCTGCACACGCAGTGACTGGAGAGCCAGGCAGCACCCAGAGGAGGGGGGCACAATTGTCTGTGACCCTCCAAAGCTCCTGATGCATCTCCCACCCAGCCCAACCCTGCAAGTCCAGAGGTTTCCCCAAGCAACTGTGTTATTCTAAATCAGGGCTCTACAAGCAGTGGCTCCTAAAGATGCTGTTGGGATTCAACTCCCACCCACCCAAACAATGCTTGGAGATGCAGGGAGTCAAAGTTACCTGCCTCCAGGGAACCACACCCCCACCAGCCCTGCTCCAAAGCAGCAAGGACACCCAGGGCAGCGATTTGCTGGTTATTCCTGAACTGGGATTTGGGGGGACAGGTAAGCAGGGGGAACGGATGCCTCGCTGCTCGTCACCACTTCAGGGGGGTACCTGTGTGCCTAAGCACCACCAAGTGGCAAGTAGTTGCATCATCTGACCCGAGAACAGAAACGGAACCTGTGGCAGAGCAAAAGAAAGCAGCTGGTAAGCGCTCGGTGGCTACTTATTTATTTCTGGTCTTGTTGTCTGCTGGGCCAGCCCCAAGACCCTCCGAGCGGGTAGATCGCCACTCGCTTCCTGGAGCAGCCCTGCTCCGTGGCCCACCTACCGTCCTTCGGCGTGGTGGCGGCAAACTCCCGTTGCTGGACGTACAGAAGTCCTTTGGGCCCCACCGTTTGGACAGGCTGGCTTCGCAGCAGCTTGGCTCGCTCCTGCTCACAAAGTGGACCAAAACATGTAACACTGCACCGGCATTCCCATCCCGGCTACAGCAGAAATCCCACAGGTCGGCCCATTCACACAGCACGGCTGGGGATGATGGGTGTTACAGTCCAACCACCTAGAGAGCTTCCAATTTATTCCTGAGTGTGCTCACCACATTGACACCTTGCCCCCTTTCCTCCGAAAGAATGCAAGGCAAGGTCCACCATCTCCCTCTTCCCTTTCTCATCCCAATTTGTAACAATGACTTATAAGGCCCTAAATGGCTCAGGACCTGGATATTTGAAAAAGCACCTCTTTCCACAAAAACCTGCCCACCCCCAAAGATCTGGATCAGAGCCCCTTCTTTGGGGGCCCTCTTTAAATGAGAGCAGAAGAGCAGCAACCAGGAGAAGGGCCTTCTCTGCGGTGGAGCCCCGACTCTGGAACTCGCTCCCCAGAGAGGTGGCCTGGCAATGATGATTTTTTTCTTTACAGGGCCAGGCCAAACCCTTTTAATTTCCCCATTATTTTCCTTTTTTTTACTTTGGGTTTTGTTTGTTTAGCGAAGCTGTACCGTATTTGTATGCATTTATTTCCTTGTGTTCAAGGCAAACCATTCAACATCATAGTAGTCCAAGTCTATGCCCCAACCACGGATGCTGAAGTTGACCGGTTTTATGAAGGCCTACAGCACCTTCTAGAATTAACTCCAAAAAATGATGTCCTTATCATCATGGGGGATTGGAATGCTAAAGCAGGAAGCCAAAAGATAACCAGAATAACAGGCAAGTTTGGCCTTGGTGTACAAAATGAAGCAGGGCACAGGCTGGCAGAATTTTGTCAAGAGAATACGATGGTCATAGCAAACTCTCTTTTCCAACAACCCAAGAGATGACTCTACACATGGACATCCCCAGACGGTCAACACAGAAGTCAGATTGACTATGTGCTCTGCAGCCAAAGATGGAGAAGCTCTATACGGTCAGTAGAAACTAGACCAGGAACTGACTGTGGCTCAGATCACGAGCTTCTGGTTGCAAAATTTGGGCTTAAGTTGAAGAAAGTAGAGCCTTTGTGAAGGGCGGGATACAAGCAAAACACCCCTTCGAGGTAGGACGGAAGGCGCAGGGAACACCCGCACCGAGGAAGCCCCCCGTTGCCGCGGGGAGCCCCGTGGCGCTGCGCTCCTGGCAGGCGCGGCCTCTCAGGGGCCCCGCTGGGCGCCCCGGCGGCCCCTCGCCAGGGAGAGCGGCCCCCGCGCCCCAGCCCAGCCCAGCCCGGCCGCGGCTCACCTCGAGCTCCGGGTGGGCGCAGGCCAGCTCCCGAGCGGGCCGCGACGCGTCCAGGCGCTCGCCCCGCAGCAGCAGCGGCATGGCCGGCAGCACCCGCGGCGACGCGCCCAGGCTCCCCGCGGCCCGGCTGCCGGCGCAAGGCGCCCTGGGAAATGTAGGCGCGGCGGCGGCGGCGGCCACGTGGCGGCGGGCGGGCGGGCGCGGCGGCCTTATCGCCTCCCGACGCCCGGCCCGCGTTTCTGGCGAGAGCGGCGCCAGGCAGGGCCGGGGGCGACCCCGGGGCGAGGCGGCCCGCGATGCCGCCCCCGGGAGGCCCTCTCCGGCTTGGAGAGCGGCGCAGGACCCGGGCGCAGGCGCGGGGCGCGATCCGCAGCGTTGCTCCAGCCTGGAGGACTACCTCGCAGGGGTGTGCGCAGGGGGCACGCGCCCCGCCTTTCCTCCCTCTGTCGTGCCCACCCCTCCGCCTCTCCTTCTGCCCCGCTCTCCGTCTTGGCCCTCTTTTCTCTTGCTCTCTCGGTCAGCCTGTTTCCTCCCACTTCGCCTTGGGTCCCCCCCACATCGTTTGAAGCATGGCTGTGTGGCCAAACTGATCACTTGCAGACGCTCTCAAAACGACCCTGAGGATCCTCCTAAAGGCCTGTTCCATTGCAGGGTTTATCCGCCCAGTAACCTCTTCCTGACGGGATAGACTATCAAAAGGAGAGTTGTGACTTCCACAGTTGTCATGCATACAGCACAGCCATCCAGATGTGGGGTGGGGGAACGGGAGCAGGAGCAGGAAGGTCAGAGGTCTGAACTAACCTAGCTGCACCACTGGGAAGATCAAAACAAAAATGGGCAAATCATAGAGAAATCAACATTTTATTATGGATTTATAAAGCTACATTCACAAGGGTTGTCTACACATATGTATCTCTACACACACACAGTGTAGAAGACAACCACTTCGTGAAAGCACAACCTTTTAAAAAAGAAATTCATTTCTATGGTGGCCTTGGAGAAGTCAGGACAAAAAAACGGGGTGTGGGGGGATTGTCTGTTTTGTTCAGAGACGGCAAAACCGCAAGGGATGGATTGAGGAAAGAGGAAGAGTCTTCACTGCCCACAGTCCAAGTCAGGCGTCACAGTACACTGCGAAGGGCAGAAAAATGCATTCTGTGTCAGATGGAACTGCAGTGCCCTCCACCCCACTTGGAGGGACACCCCAGTCCGTAAGGGCAAGGGTTGTGGCGGCATCTGCTCCCCTGAAGTAATGGCCATTGCCTAAGGGAGGTACTGAACTCAGAGTGACCTGACCCTCGGTTAATAAGAATTGCAGCAACGCTGTCAGGACAGCTAGCCCAAAATATCTGTGCTAGGTCATGTCTTAGGGTTTGCAACTTTGGGAACGGGTTATTCATAACGGAAGAGGATGCCATGGCCATCATTTTGTCATGATCATCTCTATTTCTGCACGAACATCAACCTACAAAAGAAAATCAAGCAGAACACGGAACTGAGATGAGGAGACCTTGAACAACAACTCTTCTGCATTGTGACTTCCTTTGGCTCTAGCCGACTTTTTATGAACAGAATAGATTTGGGATTATTTTAATAATTAAGAGATGGATATCCTGCCTCCAAGGTGGATTAGAAATTGTAGTTAGATATCATACAAAATTGACATGTAATTGGCAGCAACTGGAATTTCCCCCCTGTTGCAAATAGCAAGCGGTGTGGGGGCAACCTCGACTGGGACTACGGCGGGGGCAAAGGACATGCGTATCATGGTCTAGGTTAGGGGGGAGATGCAAACGATGCAGGGACCAGTTGCACTGGATGCATCCCAGAATAACGGCATTTTCATTTTCTACATTTCCTTTTTGTTGCACTCCTAAACCATCAATAGCCAAAGCTCTCTAGGCAGTTTGCCGAATTAAAACCTTAACAACCGTAGGAAATCCATATAAATGCAAACATGCTGATATGCAACCCAGAGAGGTACACTTGATAGCTAAAGAAACCTAAACATGCTATCCTGCTCTGGTAACCTCTGGGTTGGACTACCATAACGCGCTCTACATGGGGCTGCCCTTGAAAACGGTCTGGATACTTCAGCTGGTACAGAATAGAGCTGCCAGGCTGCTGACGGGGACCGGTTGGTATCCTCACTTAACGCCGGTCCTCTACCAGCTCCACTGGCTTCAGTTGAAGTCCAGGCCCAATTCAAGGTGCCGGATTTTGACATAAAGCCCTAAACGGCTTGGGACCAGGATACCTGAAGGAACACCTCCTCCCTTATACACCCTCATGCCCCTTAAGGTCTGCAGGAGAAGCTCTGCTCCGGGACCCTCCCTGAAGGTGATAAAAAGGACGTCTACTCGGAGGAGGGCCTTCTCTGCGGTGGCACCCAGATTGTGGAATGCGCTTCCCAGAGAGGTGCGCCTGGCGCCAAGTTTATATTTGTTTCAGCGCCAGCTCCAAACCCTTTTAATCACCATTTTAAACATTAGTATTTTAACATTTTAACAGTCACTTTGATTTTGATTTTCATTTACATTTTAATTGTTACTATGTTATTTATTTATAGATGTGATGGTTTTATTGTATTTTGATTTTAAGGATTATAAGCCATCCTGAGATGCTATGCATAAGGGACGGCATACAAAAGTTTTAAATAAATAAATAAATAAATGGGAAAATCAAGGCCTTCAACTCAAATGTGAAACCTGCTATGACCATGAGTGCAGGAATCATGATTTGGAAGGGGCAGAAGAGAACGGACAACTAGAAATTTCAGCTCTAGAATTATTGTATTGCATTGTGCATCCCTGATAGGTTATGCACACACAATCCCTGATAGGTTATGCACCCTTCTCCTTGTGCCCCTTCTCCTTCCCTTCTTTGTTAGAGATAAACACCTGCTTACCGCCTGGCTGAGCTTCTCTAGCACCGGGATCAGGCTGAGCAGTTCTTTATCCTGAGGATTGCCCAGCCATCGAGGGAGCACAAGCACATTGGATGTCTGGGCAGAAAAGAGAGAACAACATCTGTCCTGCATCTGGTTCTCAGGGCAGGGCCCCTGCAAAGGGTCGGTGGGCCCAACACTGAGCATTTGGGCCCAATTCAAGTCAGAGGTGCTGACCAGCTGGGGTGCAGAAGCTTTAGGCTCTGAGGCCAAAGCCAGCCAGACCTGTGGCCAAACCAAGCCCTGCTCAGCTCCCCAGGTGCGCACAGACCCTTGCACACAACCATGGATCGCTTGAGGGTTTCCCAGCCTGTGGGCAGTCCCCCCACCCCATTCGAATAACCGAAATGCCTCTCTTCCCCTGGCGCTGCTGATTGCTACCTGGTAGGGGAATGCTTCCTGGTGAGTCGCGACCGCCATTGTCTTGCCCAGGTCCCTCTCCAGTACCGACAGGTCCTTGACGTAGGAGCCGTACCGGCACATGCAGTCCTCTTGGTACAGCTCGTGCCTGCAAGACAACAGAAGGATGGAGATTCAGGCCCTGCTTCCTTCCAGGGCTTCTGGCCAGACTCAGCAAAGGAGCTGCGCTTAAGGGCACACTGGAGCCATGAGGAGCTGAGGGCAGCATGAGTTGCGGTGGACCGTTGGCCAGCTCTGGTGGACAACCCACACGGAAGGCCACCAGGAAGTGTGGTGGAGCCTGAGCAGGGCCCGCAGGGATGCTGTCAGTTGCTCCACGGCAGAGTTCCCTCTTCCCTGAGCTTATCCACAAACTTCCCATGCGTGGGGGGGGGGGGGGGGGGGGTACGATCACTGCAGAAATCATTCCAGCAGGCTTTAGTGCTGAGCTGAACTGCACCTGTCGAGGGAGAACCTGCTCGACTTGCAAAAAAAATGTTTTACATGCTTGCTTTGAACTTTGGGAGTTAACTTTTGCTGTACATCAAAAGGATGCACAGGGCGTGGGTCCTTTAGGGAGGATTTGTGCTGGCTGTTGGCTGTGGAACACCGAGCAGCACTTGGCTTCCGGTACATACTCCAATCTGAACTAGTCTTCTAATAGAAGACAACTTCTGCACAGAAGTTCTGCCAACTTCTGCGGCGGCCCAGGAGCACCCAGGAAGGCCCGCCCAAGCCTACTTTGCTTGGTGCTCTATCCAGTGCCAACCAGAAGTAGTTTCAGAAGAAACTGCACTTTATTTTCATATTCCACCCATCACATGTACACACCCCAGGTCCAACAGCTGTGAGAATACCACCTGATCAACTTCCGGTGTGGCCCAAGGGCCGCCAGAATTTTATCCGCATAATCTTGTTTGGCTGTGGTGAACACGAAGACCTGAAAGGAAATGAGGAGGGCCTGAAGCAGATTCCCCGTGAGAGTTTGAATAGCCTAGGACAGTGGTGGAGCACCCATGGCCCACACGCCGCAGCGGGCACACGAGCCAAGTCGCCCCAGCAACGCCCCAGCAGCCGAGCATCAAATAACAGCACACACAGGGGCCATGCGCATGCTCAGAAAGGAGTAGCAGCACCAGGCGATGACGTCACGAGCCGCAACTCATTAGCCGCGACTCGTCTGAGCTTTCGCATGCCGGTCGGTGCACTGCCAAGGAGATATATATATTTGCTTGGACTGGCTGTGAGTTTTAATACATTCGTTTTTATTAACACAAGATTTTAGCTTTGAGTTTTCTTATGAAAAATTTAAATGTAAAAGATTTAGCAAAGAGATGTTCTAATTGAGAGACTGAGATTCTTTTAATGTTGTGCTGTCTCCCTGGCGTATTTGAATCTGCAGCATCATATTCAGGTTTTATTGCAGTGATGGCACTTTGCAATAAATAAGTGGGTTTTGGGTTGCAGTTTGGGCACTCGGTCTCTCAAAGGTGGGTCCATGGTGGGTCCTGTTTCCTGGATCTCTCCTGTCACGTTCAGACTAAAATCCAGGAGCAAGACCCACACACCGACACAAAGATTGGTCCTACCAGCCTCCACGGAAACCCAGACAAGGAGCCGTGGCTGGATTCTGGTCGGGAGGCTGAGGTTCTGCAACCCTGGCTTAGGAAGAGGCTTGAAAACACAACCCTGCAGGCATCAAGGGTTAAACCATCATAAAGATCCCGTAGCTGTCGTGCCCAGAAGATGCAGGGGATGGAGAAGCATTGGTCCTTCCATGTCCTTTTCTTGCCTTACCAATTCCAGGGCGTGTGGGGCCCTTGGGCAGCCGAGTTTCTACCCAAGCGGTCCTTACATGTAGTGAACTGCATGCCCTGAGGCCATGGCCTCGTCCCAAGCCAGAAGGCTGGTCCGGCCTCATCTAGTAGCATCTCTTTCGAGGCTCCCCGACATCTCAGGGAGAGTTTTTCCCTCCACTGGCAAGCGGCTGCTTTTCCAAACTGCAGGTGCCAAGGGTTGACTGGGGGACTTCACTCTCCGCCTGTAGCTGCCTTTGCCCGTGTGCCTCCAAATGCACAGGAAGCAGCGTCCTGCGGGCACTGACCTCATAGCTCTTGGCAAGCGTTTCCAAGAATTCACGGATGTGCGGCCTCAGCTTGAACGAAACCTTCAAGATACCAAGAAAAACTGCATGAGTGAAAGCGAGACAGACCTTTCCACACCCTCCCCTTTCCTACCAGATCCAATTATTATAGGAGATGAGCAGTGTGAGTCTATTAGTATTAAATTAATAATTAATAATTTGATTAGTCCTGTTATTATTAATGAATTAAATGCCTTTCTATACCACCCAATAGCTGAAGCTCTATGGTCTGGTTGCAAAAGCACATAAAATACAATAAGAATATAGGATCAAAAACACAAACAGCAGCAAAACGTCTTAAAATTATACCACAAATGGTAAAAATCAGATTTAGAGCCAGATTTAGGCAAGTATAATGTGGCTGCCTGGGACTCTGTAATCTTCATTAGACAGAACAGCAGGATGAGGTGCTATCAGTGCTTTTTTGTCATAGGACGCACCGGAACAGAGTTCCGGCACCTTTTTTCAACAGTTTTTCCAAGTTTTAAAAGTAACTTTTGAAAATTTGATGTTTGGTCCACGTGGATTTGAATCACCCTGTCTAGCGCAGCAGGTCGGCGGCAAAATCATTAAAACGGTGCATGCGGGCTGCTTGTGTGTCGAGTCCGATGCGTGCGTGCTTCGTCCACGCTGGTTGTGATGGCGCTGCTCGGCCTGTGGTTGGTCGTGTGGTCATGCGCTGAGTGCTTTCTGAGGGTGGCAACTGTTATGTTTCGTTACACAACTGACGTGTGTGGGTGTGTGTACAGTGATTGACTACTTGCGAAAGGTAAATAATTTCATGAGTTCCGGCACCGTTTTTCTTACAAAAAATGCACTGGGTGCCATCATATGCTGAGTCTCTCTTCCCACTCCTGGTCCCTGGAATTCCCGCTCCCCATGCCAGCTTCCCGGTCGGTCTTCCAACTTTGGAGCTGCAGCTGGTGCAGAAAGAACTGTGCCAGCTGCAAGGGCAGAGGAAGGACACTCTGAGGTTGGAGCTGATCTGCCCAGTGGCCCAGTGCTGCCCAGACGGGGCCTGGTGGCCATAGGCTTGCACCCCAAGCGCACAATCCTATGCATAATGCTATGGGGCAGCGGGACTCCTCCATTTCTCAGTCTGCCCCAGCCAGAGCTCCAGAGGACTTTCCCCCCAGACCCTGTATGCTGCTCTGCTCGCTAAGGAATTCATTGAACTAAGCCGATCAGGAACTAAATCCCAGCCCCAAAGCAAGCGGCACTCACCCCACTGGAGGAAGGTCTGGTAATGGGGCTTTTCTCTGTCCAGGCTAAAAATGGACCATTGTTATGCAATGCAAGTATGTGAGATCCAAGCATACGGTCCTGACGTTCAGTGCAAAAAGTAATCACACGCATGTTGGCCATAGCTCTTTTTCAGTGGCCCAGCATGTGAACGGGGGGGGGGGGGGGTGTTAAAGACACACACAGACTTATCCAAGCATCTCACTATTTCATTATCTCCAGCAGCAAGTATACAAACTGGGTAGAGACCTGTTCTCCCCTGCAGAGGAAGGCAGGATGCGCTCCAACAGAGCAAAGCTCAGGGAACCCAGGTTCCATTTAGATGCCAGGAAGCACTTAATGACAGTTAGGACCCCGAGGGTGTGGAATGGGCTTCCACGGGAGGTGGCTGAGGCCCCATCGGTGCAGGTGTTCAAGGACAGGCTGGACGTGCACATGGTGGGCATGTCGTGAGCGGAGCCGGCTGGAGCCGGGGGTCAGACTAGATGGCACGGGAGGCCCCTTCTGACTCACTCTGTTTCTATGTTTTTCAGAAACTAAGCAAAATTAACATTGTATGTTTTTAGCCCACAAAGTTGCACTTTCTAGTTCTTGAGACCATTTGGATCAGTTCACTTAATCTAGATTGATGGATTGCTGCTAGACATTATAAAACAGGCTCACATTTCCCTTGAGACTCATGAATGGCCCAGAGAGTTGAGTTACTGGACAACGTACCAACGAAAATCGGTAAGCTTTGTAGGAATGGTGCAAAGCTTCCGCAAAAGGAGATCCCAGTGCAGGTTCTGGTTCTGACCCAACAGAAGCACCTTCAAAAACCTGCATCCCTAAACCCAGCAGAGAAGAGAGTGGTGGTGTTTACTGCAGAGAGATGAGAACTCTGCACCTGCTCAAGGTTACTGTCCTCTCTGTCTGAGGGTTCAGCCCCAGCTAAAGTTGAGCCCTGAATTTGCTAACCTGATAGCAACTATCTTGGAAGGATGTGATGAATTTCGGCGCACCGTTCCAAGGAGCTGTCAGGGAGGACACAGCCAAGATGCCTTCCTGTGGGGTACAGTGAAACTGACAAGAGTGTGGGGGGAAAGCCAGAGGGGGTGGGGGCAGGGTGGGGGGTACGATCAAAAGAATATTGACAATTTCTTCAGGCATACACGAAACGCATGTGGCATGTAGCAGTTCCCAAGGGGAGCACCAAGATGAAGTTTGTACAAGATGCGGGGAATCTCATGCAACGGGCGGCATAGAAATGTTAATAATAATAATAATAATAATAATAATAATAATAATAATACCAAGTATGCTAGAGACACAATAGGTAAAATAATAGAGTTGAACAGGATTAAGTCAAAACTATTTGTTTATTTAAAACATTTCTATTCTGCCTATTGTGCCACAGCAGCTCTGGGAAGCTCATAAGATATCATAAGATAAAAGCCCACAATAAAACTAATGACAATTTTAAAAAATACAATACCAATAAAATACAGATAAAATACAAAATGAAGGTTTAGTGGTGTCAACTGTTAAAATGCTTTTTGAAAAAGACCTTCAGGACAGATAACCCATTAATTAAATTTGTACCCACTTTTTTTTTTTCCTTTCAAGGGACTCAAAGCAGCTGACAAAATTCTCTGCCTCCTCCCAATCTACTCCTCAAAACGGTTCTTAGGGGCTCCCATTTGGGCTGAGAGTCTGTGGCTGGGCCCAAGTCACCCGGGGGCTCCATGGCTGAGCTGGGACCAGAACCCAGGCCGCCTGTGTCCCGGTCCCATGCTCTTCCCACTACACCACACTCTCTCCAACAATTAGCATACCTAAGAGTATGCCTCCGAAGGAAAACCTTTCAGGACTGGAATGTTAGCATTTCTAGGGTGCCTGTGGGAAGCAAGACTTGCAACATGCATCCCTGATCAGGAATTCCCCCCCCCCCCGCCCCCCAAGTCTAAACCCCTTCTTCAGTGCCAGGCTTTTACCAGCCAAATTATGACAAAGCTTTTGCTCATTTTGTCCTGACAACAAAACAAAGCTTGGAATCAGACGTGAACAAGCAGAGACCTGGTTGTTGTCGCATTCCTTTCCATCCCTTCCGCATTCCAAGTTTCCATGTTTCCCCGCCAGGATCATGCGGCATTTCATGGCCCCTGAAGGTGCTCAGGCCCACCTGGCGGTTCCCCGCCTTTAGGGCTTTTTTCCCCCTAAAACGTTTTTGTACTTCTGCAGACTTGAGATTCTCCCAAGCAGTATTTCCCCCAGAAATTATGCCATTTTACATAAAGAAGGGCGCTCACAGCACAGCCTGAACACTGGAAATAAAGGGGAAAGCAGCTCCTTCTGGGAGAGAAGGAAGCCCATCAGAAAGATCCAGAAGTATGGAGGAAACATAACTGATTCACAAGTAGAAAGCAACCACCATGCGGGGACTCCCCCCGGGGGGCTTCATTGCAGTGAGGGGGGGAGGGGGGTCTGCAACTTGCCAAGTAAAAAGTGGGTGCATATATAATTGCTCTTTGAATTTATTTTTTCCTTATTATGATATTGCCTTATCTGGGAAAAAGAGGAATTAATCAATTATCATTGTTGGGCTTGTGGGTATGCTATAAAGTGAATTATTATTTAGTTGATTCCCATGTGAAAGTAATTTTATGTAATAACTGTTAGTCTCAATTAAGTATTTATTAATTTAACTAAATATTAGTTTTATCTAAGTACTATTATGTTAAAATTGTAGTTACCAATTTGGTAGGTAAAAATTATTACCAATGTTGCGATATTTCCCACATTTACTATTTATATGTAATTTTTGTACAAGGTCCTTGGTAACATCCATTTTTAATGTCTTCATTTTTTCTTTGTTTTAATCTATAAAAAAGTAAACAGTTGGCGTTGATAGGTTGTTGGGGTAGTTGACAAGCCACTCAGAAGGCACAGGCTGTTTTGAGGTTGTGGTTGGCTTGACAACCATCCAAAGGATCCTTCCCTGCGGAGTTAGTAACACAAGTTCAGGTGTGCTTCTGTATACCTCCAAACATTCAAAATGGCAGCTACGGCTGCAGTGAGAAACCTCACAGGACAAGCTCCCTGGGCCTCCGTGGAGTTGTGAAAGCACCACCACTGCCTCTCCCTGGCCAGAGGACCTGCCATCTTACCAGTCCCAGGACCAGCGTATTCTTCGGGGAACGGCGTGTCTTCATTGGGATTCTCCTCTTCTGGGGTTTCTGAGCTCCTCTGGGGTGAGTGAACCTAAGTAGAGGGAAAGATCGGGGTCAGAGTAAAAGAAGGTTTCTCCTCATCCTGAACCATTGCCAAAGGTTCGGCCTATTCTCCCCAGGACACTTGTGAGGGCTCTAAGCTCAGCTTAGAGGGAACAGGGAACCCCGACGGGGAGGGCTGGTCAATCTTGCCGCTCGAACGTCACAGTGCTTTGACCCTTCCAGCCCTGCTTCCACTCCACCTCTGGGCCCGGGGCTGGGAAAGGGGCCCAAAGCGGAGTCTCTAGAGCAAGTGGGAGGAACAAACCCGTCCTGGGTAAACATGGAGCAGGAGACTGCTGGATTCCCCGACCCTTTCACAATTTTCAAAGAGGGCAGTCGTGCGAGTACAGGTGTGTGTACGAGAAACACCTCCACTTACACATCCAAGGCTTCCACCCCAGGCGGTGCATCTTGCAAGAAGCCTCCCGAGTATGGGGAGTCACCCCATGGCTTCCCTTGGGGCAACTGGAGGTTCTCTGGGTCTGTAGAAGGGAAACTGTTTTAAGCAGGGGGTGGTCTAGACAGCCTCTGAGGATCCCTCCCAACTCTGTGATTCTTCCCTCCCGTTTCTGTGGCTACCACTATGGGCAATTTGGGTTGTCCTGAAGCAAAACCACTTAAGACCTGGCAAAAGATGGCTGATAGCCCATAATATGACCCCTGGACCATGTACCAGCAGGAAACCAAAGAACATGCCTGCAGTTCTCTAGAGTGAGGGACAGAGACACAAGAAGAACTGAGTTTCTGCCTGCAAGCATCCTCTGGCAGGGACCTCGTGGGACAGCCGGATCGGTCTGGATGCAGGTGCTGCGAGGCTTCCGCGATGGGCCACCTGTGCGTGTGGGTCCATCCATCCTATTTCACAAGCGCACAATAGAAGCTCCCAGTCGCTTCTGTTTCAGGGAAACAAGACCCTGGGCAAAAGCTTGCACCCTGCGGTTCTGACCGTTTGGAAAACTGGGGTGAGAATCACAACCGTGTTTTGCATTTAAAGCATAACTTCTCAGAGATAAATTCGCACCCTCTCCAGATTCCCTCATTTACAAGAGACAACCCATATTTTGAGGAATCTGTCCCGAATAAATTGCTGCTCCTATTTTTGCCAGCTCTTTATTGGACCTGCACATGGTGGGCATGTCATAAGTGGAGCCGGCTGGAGCCAGGGGTCAGACTAAGTGGCCCAGTAGAGCCTTTTGACTCAGAATGTTTCTGTGTTATCTCCCTGTAAGGTGCTCTGGTATGTAGACCGTGTCTGCATTGGATGGACGGAGTCCTGGATCACCAAAGCTTGCACTGCAGTCGATCCAGTGGCCTTCACAGCACTGTGTGGTTCCTGGTTGTTGCTGTTTCGCACAATCTCTGTGGCCTACTTTGCGCAGAAGGCTGATTTCCAGGACTCACCTCCTGTCCCCGAGAAAGAAAAATAGCTGCCGAAGGGCAAGCAGCCATTCTTGGTGCTACCGCATGCCTGGGAGCTAGATGGAAACATCTCAGATGGCAGCTCTGGAGACACCTGAAGGCTGGGAGGAGGAGGAGAAAGGAGATGCAGGTTATTCTAAGGGCGAATGTTTCCAAGCTGGTTGGCAGTGGGATCTCCTGGATGGACAAGACAAGCAGCCTACGGTTACCGCACTAGGAAGAAGACCGAGCGTATACAAATCCAGCCAGCCTTTTCTTGAATATCCAGCAGGCACCTTGATGCACAGAGTCAGCTGGTAAAAACCTGCCTGCCTGCAGGCCGTGTTACTGCTCCAGACACAGCAGCAAGGGCCAGCGGAAAAGGTGGCCAGCTCTGCACGTGCCTTAGGACGTTCCGGAATGTGCAGCGGAGCTGTGTGGGTGTTTGTGTCCACGTCTGGGCTCTGCTCAGCCCCACCTCACCTGCCCAGAGCCACCCCTTCCGTGGGAGTGGGGCTGCTGAAACGCTCACGCCACCCAGGCAGGTCTTGCCCCCGTGCAAGGATCCCGGGGTCAGCCTCAGAAGGGCTCCTGCCTCTGCCGCCATCGGCCACGAACCCAGAGCTCGTGCTCGCGTGCCCACGGGGGCAGAATCCCACCCGCTGCCAAGCACCGGCCCCTTTTCTTCTTCCCCTCCCTTCAAATTGACTCCCAGCGCAATGAATGTCAAGAATGAGGTTTCACCAAGGGTCACGCAGCCGAGGACCTCGGGGGTTAACCTCCTGAAGTCCACTCTGTAGGATGAGAGTCAACCACCCAGAGGACTTCTCAGTGGCTGCCCCTACACTGTGGGATGGTCTGCCGGGAACGATGTGCCTGATTCCCCCCATTCCCACTTTTAGGAGAGAGGGTAATAAGTGTCCCTCGTGACAGGCCTTCCCAGATTAGCCTCATGTCAGTTTATTTAATATGCTGTATTAGTCAATATTTACTCACTGTTAACTTTCTTGTAAACACCCAGAGTCTATGGGTGGAAAATAAAAAATAATCCTGTGCAACTTCGGGCTCAGCCCCACCCAGAATCATGGGAACCACTTTCCAGCTTTCATGCACCCCAGAGGTGTTGTTGCATTTGGGGGGGTGCCCCATTCCTGGAGAGGGTGGAGCAAGATACCAAAGAGACCAGCACCGCGGATTTTAAAACACTTACTAACAGAAACTAAGGACAGAACGTTCAGCTTTCTGGAATGGAAAAAAATAATGCACAAAAGCCAGGGGGCCACCGACTGACCCACAGCCAGCAAAAGGAGCAGGAAGGAAGGAAGGAGGAGCATCTGAGGCTGGTGACGCAGAGAGCTGGATGGGGACCCCAGGCACGGCACTGGCGCTCACTGCCCAGCTCACCATACCAATTCGCCGCTGGACACTTTTAGTGGGGAGCGAGTGAAAACCAAACCAAGCGGCCGCAACTTCTCACAAGGCTGCTCACAGGCCTTGCCTTTTGGGGACAGATGCCCCTCTCCATCCAACGGAGCTGGTACTCACTTCCTACCACAGAGGGCTCAAATGGCAAACCACACTGAACATTCAGCAAAGCTCACTGGCCAGCTGAAGTGCAACCCTTTGCTTGTAATTAAAAATACAAAAATTCTAGAAAGAAAGACGTGGAAGAATTTCAGCAGCTGCCATGAAGTAGGAGCTTTGCCAAGGGAGAGGAAAGATGGATGCAAAGTCTGCTTACTTCCGACTACCTGGAACTGGGAAGCCTTGTTATCACCTCCTAAAGCCAGAGGAGAGCAGCTGGCTTTGGCAGGATTTGCTTCACATCCCTTTAATGCCCTCTGAGAGCTAGGAAGCAAACCCACAAAAACAAGTAACAGCAGAGCAGGCCAGTCCCCGGAGCGGCATGGTGGCCTTTCCATCAAAAGCTCACCTGCAGATCCTCAGCAACAGTTGGAGGGAGGGAGGGAGGGAGAGGAAATGAAATGAAATGAATAGACCCCTCCATCTGAGTAGGCAGGAAATCTCTTTTGCATTAAAGAGGTAGGAACCCTCAGAAAAGGCTTACTGAACTTTAAGTTCTTTAGGTCAGAATAGGTATGTGTAAATTAGGCTAGATTCTGAATGATGGCAGAACTATTTGGCGGTATTATAGTTTATTTTTCTTTCGGCTTTACAAACTTGTATGTTTTTGCATACCTGGAGGGAGGTGTGGATTTATAGAAAACCATGCCTTTATTTTTGGGTGAGCCAAACATTTCCACACTAATTGGCACCTGGCCACCTGAGCTGGCTACTTGAAGGCGTGAGGATAATTGAAATTTACTTCCAGCCTTTCCACCATCGAGCTGGCAGCATGCACAGATAGAAGCTATCCAGGTTCATCCTTACAAGGGGTTCCCTCGTGGGCCAGCTGCGCAAGATTTCATGTTTGCCTATTCATGGCAAAACTAGATTTATCTCCTTACTAGGTTCCTGCATCATGAAGAGCAGCCTTCTAGGTATTCAACTGGTGCAGCTTTTCCTATCATGCCATGCTGGGAGAAAGCTGCCCTGTTGAATTTCCCCCCCTGCTAAATGCTTAAGAGCTCTGCCAGAAACAGGGGGGGCATCCAGACCAGCCCATTTCTTTGCCCTAACTAGAGCCAGGGTCAAGGCTAGGCATGGTTGGGTGCCTGCTAAGGGCCCCCCCCAGAGGGCCCCCCAGATCCTTGCCCTTTCCCTGCACTGCTGGGAAACTTTACTCAGCTGAATCCCAGTCCAGTGCAGAACACTGTGGTGGAAACCGCAGTAGATCCTGCCCCCTTGGCCACCCAAGACCACCACCAGGTGCTGGTGATTGTGGCAGTGAAAAAGCAAACCCCTGGAAAGGAATCCTTGGAAGGGCCTTACCCAAGCAGCCTTGCCCAAAGCCTGGAGCTGGCACTGTCTGAAATTTGGGGGTCAAATTGTGGTAGGGATGCCATAATCTGGGCGCGAGATGTTCCTGCAGAGCTTCTCCTGAGCTTACCCTCCTTTAACCCTGTGGCCGCACAGTGAAGAGCTCGTTCCCCAGCACAGTGCCCATCAGCCCCAGCAAGAGGTCAAGGCTTTGCTCCAAGACTGCAGATCTTGGAACTGGGATGCCATAAAGCAAATGTAAATTCCTTTGACGGCTCTCACCTGAGGGTTTGGCTCAGGGACCGAGGATGCAACTCACCCAGGAAGGGTCTCTGGGAAAGACCTGCCTGGAATTCTGTCTGAGGACACTGAGCTAGACAGACCAAGAGGCCGACCAGGTCTAAGGTGGCTTCCGGCATCTCTATGACTGTCCCCGTTATCGTCATTCCCCCTATTTTGGCAAACTGATACTTCTTGATCTTTTATTCACCCAGCTTCCCAACGTGTAAAATGAACTCCTGCTTCCTCCCAGGCAAGTAGCACTCTCTTTTACACCCCCCCCAACACCAACTTACTTCACAGTCCAGATGTTCCTCAGCAGGGACACGCATTCCATGCTAGAAATGGCTCCGGAAAGAAGGGCATGTTGAGGTCAAGCGGAAGGGCCTCCCTCCCATGCACCAGCGCTCCCGAGGAGTCCAACTACCCCACCCACTTGTCCAATTTTTAATGCAGCTTTGCTGTAAATCACAGGAAGTGCTGTAGTTCAAGGCTCGGATGAGGCAGCCCGGAGGCAGTCCAGTGAAGCCCTCAACTCTGGCTGCATTGAAACACGCATCTAGTATTGGGTTAAGGTGACAGTGCCCCAGGGGTCTCTCGAGTTTTAGAAGCTCCATGCTGTGTTGTAAGAGGAAAAACCAAGCAAAGCTACTCAAATTGCCGCTTGAGGTTCACACAGAGTTGAGTACAGACCAGCTACTGTGTGTATTTTTTGTTTTAAATCAAGTGGCAACTCTGCTCTGAAGAGTTTTCTGAAATTCAGTGTTTACGCCAGGGATGAGGGAGTCAAAAGCTACACCAGACAAACAGAATGAGCTGCTGAGTTCTCTTGATCATTGTCATGATACATTTAATAAACCAAATGAGCTACTTCAAAATCAAGATGTGGAAAGAAAGCTAAGCAGTAGCAAATCATTTTCTTGTGCAAAAAGTAAAAAATAAACACACCCCTGTAAGACAGTCATGCTTTTTCTCTGCACTTTCCCCCAACCAACTTTTCACTACCAAGATCATTCAAATACTTCAGAAACTGTCCCAACAAATTCTCTTTATAGAAATGACAACTGCCCAAAGTCTTTTTCAGCTGATCCTGGAAGGTCAGAGCTGCAGAGACACGGCTAGTGGCGACCCGATGCGCGTTCCCGGACTCTGAAGACTGGAGTCAAAGGAACCCGGTGTGATGCCCACCATTACGCCATCGTTCTGAGGAGTTTCGCCTTTCAAGAAGTCGTCTTCCTCTTCCCCTTTGCTCTGCAGAAACAAATGCAGTGGTTAAAAAACTCTTTTGAAGAATAGGAACACTGGAAGCATTTCCACAAACATGCTTATTGCCTTCATTATATAGAGGACTGTGCATCAGCAGGAGAAAGCGTTGTGCAACTTCTCACCCTGCTTATAACCAGAATTAGCAGTGGTACCCACCTCACTTGCAACGCCTGCAGCTTCTCCAAGGTCCTCGGCACTCTCCTCTTCCCAAAACTGATACAAAGGGTTGATTATGTTCTGCGATCTGTACAGGGATTTGGAATACGGATTAAGACAGAATAGAGAGAGATCCGTGTTTCCAGAAAGACTCCCTCTGTCTTAAAAAGGAGTTTGTGGAACATTCCAGCATATCATTTGGAATGCTCTCCCCAAGGAGATTCATCTGGCACCTTCCTTACTTTCTTTTCAGCACCAGGCAAAGACCTTCCTTTTTAAAAAACATTTTAATAACTAATGCCACAGACCTTTGTTTTGCTTTATTTTGCTTGGATTTTATCGTTATTTTTAATGTGTTCTGGTTTCACTGGTCTACAAATTTTGGGAAATTATCGACCTCTGAGATAAAATATGCTAATTCTTACATATTTTGATTAGATGAATTAGAAAACAGGTGATAAAGGTGCTGGTTGGCTAAAGTTTTCAAGATATTTCACAATAAAGATTTATACACAGGTGAGAATATTTGCCCACAAGGGAGGGAGGTGTCTGATGATTATGATGCCTCGTAACTTCACGACACAATACGGCAGAACAATGAAAATGGTACCACATGGAAGTGTATAAATTTATCTTCACTTTGAGACTAAAGATAATTACCTAACTGTAATTTATTGTTCTTTCATTGCAAGGTACATTTGTCTTGGTCAGACCTATGCATCATACAGTTACATCTGGTGGCTTGTGAAAGTGTCATTGCCTAACATTTCCAAGGAACAGCTGCATGATATTTTCCCTCAGAAGCCAAGATGCCTCTAAACTGTGTAAACAACGCAGATAACTTCTGCTACGTTTGTGTCGAAGTTACATGTGCATCTCAAAAGTGCAATATAACAGCAGTGGTAAAAAAGGCACACTACCTATATTTTGGATGCAGAATAGGGGATCAGGACAAGAATTGGGCCCCTCATTATTGTTGCATTACCTGTGCAACTTATCTGTGTCATTGGCTAAACAAGAAGAAAAAGCCCATGCCTTTCACAGTCCCAGTGATGTGGAGGAACCCACCATAGTAGCAACTGCGATTTTTGCATGGTTCCCCCAGTTGCGAAGGGGATCTCAAGGTAAAAGAAGTGGACCGCGGAATATCCAAACATTCCATCCACACTGTGTCCTGAACCCAGTCGTGAAGACTTGCCAATTCCAGATCCACCAGAATCCTACTCTCTAGACTCAGATGATGATAAAGACAGTGAGCAGGATGCAGCGGATCCTGGGCCGTCGCTGTCAGCGGACCCAAACTTTAGCCCCTCCAAAACCACATCTAATTTCACAGAGTGAACTAAATGACCATTCTCATTGCTATATACATTTTGCAGAAAAGTTGTGGAGCATAATCACACACACCCCTCGTAATTTTGCATGATCTTGAGGTAATTTTGACCTGAAGCTGTGTCTTGGAAACTAGAGCCAATTAATACCCACAACTTAATTTTCCTTTATTAGTGACCCAATTCTGGTAAAATTTAGCTACCTTCATTTCCGAGGCTTTCTCCTTGTAGACCAGTGTTTGTGTTTTTACCGTATTGGATCTTATGGTTCTAAGCCGCCCAGAGGTGCTGTGGCACACTCAGGTGGCACGTAGATGTTTTAAGGAAATAAATACAGCCATTCTTTCAGGTGCGTGTTCTTATGAAGCCAAAATGGCACCACCAAAGAACAAGGTGGTTTTAATATGGGTTTGCTGGAATACTCCACTCACCCAATTGCTCCATCAGAACTGGCAGGCACAAAATGCTGATTGATGTACAGTCGGAGTGGGGGAACAGGGAGTGTGAGAGAATGAAAGGACGTTTCTTGGAAGAAAATGTCAAGGAATTGCCCACCCCCCTGCCAACAGGACAAAGGGACGGCTTTCTCGGGAACAGATACCTTTTGAGAATGTAAGGGTCAAAGGGGAAAAAACTGTCCAGGGGATTTGTGCAAGTCTCGATGGAGTCACCCCCACAGCTGCTTCTCACAACCGGCAAAACTTGTCTCCTGTTCCTCTCAATGATGGTGTCGCAGAATGCAATCTGGTACTTCCTGAAAGAGGGCGAGGCGAGACGAGCCGGCTGAGGTTCCTCCTTTACGACAACAGCATTTCGTACAAGTGCAACATGGATCTAAAGGAAGCCACAGCCCGGAGGGCCGAGCACGGCTCTCAAGGACCGGCCGTTTTGGAGGGCGCTCCTCCCCGCCACAAGCTCCTTCGGAGGCACCCTGGCAGCAGGGAGCAGCAACAGCACAGCCCACTTGTTCTCCTCTCGCAAGGAATCCCTGGCCTCCTACCTTGCCATGTTATCCCCACACCGACCCTGTGTCATCGGGAGTCGAGGACTGGCCCCAAGCCGCCCGGTGAGCCGAGTGGGAACTGCAACCTGGACCTCCTGACTCCCAGGCCAGCATTCTGGTGGCTGTACCACACCGGCTCTCAAACTGCCTTGCAGAAGCCAGAGCTGCCTTCAGGCGTGGCAGAGGCCTGGAACACCTGCAGCCGCCCACCATCCTGCAACAAGCTATCCTTGTACGAGTGAATACAGAGACGGGACCACGCGCCTGCGTGTGCACAAGCACACATGCCTCGCAACCACCTGATGCAATACACCCGGGGCAGGGGCAGGGGCAGGGGCAGGGGCAGGGGCAGGGGCAGTGGCGAATGCCGCCCAAGCCACCCCACCCCAGGTGCATTCCTGAATGGGCAGAGCCCCCCCTGAGCCCCTGGAGAGGACCCGCCACAGAAAACTGCAAGGCAGGCACAGAACGCTCAATTATTTTCTGCAAAAGTCACTGTATGTGACTATTTAGAAAATTCACGAGAGAAACAAGGGCACCTACCTTGTGAAGGCAGCAAAGAAATTCACAATGGAAGGCAAACACACCTTCAGGGGGTTCAACTGACTCATAATGATGCGCTCAAAGTTGAAGTTCTGCAGGAATGCCAGGCCTTCAAAACAAAGCGAAGGACAAATATGGAGCGCTCAGACTGGATTTCCCCATCCAAACTGTGATTCTTATGGTAGTAACAACACAAATGAGACCGAGGGCAGCTTTGGAAGTCACGTGAGAAAGTAGCTATGATTAGAAGAAACATATATACACCCAAGGTGTCCTTCTCTTCTTCTTCACCTTATCCCCACAACCACCGCCATCAGGTAGATTAGGTTGAGGGTCTGTGACAGGCCTCGTCACCCGGTGAGCTCCGTGGCTGAGAGGGGAGGAGGGAACCCCGATCTCCCGACCCCAGGCTCTTCCCCACTGCGTTACGCTGGTTGCCAAGTGAAATCGCCCCGCTGCCAGGAGCTTCTACTCGACCACTCAGCTGTATCCCGTTGCTGCTCCCCAGCAATTCCCTGCCAGCCAACTCTGCAAAACAGCCATGGATTCGGGCCTGCACAGACCCGGTTAGTAAAACCCACAATTAGACCCAGCACGGCTGATGCACAATTTCCCATTGGAGATGGCGCGACATAGAAGGCTAGCCATCATGGGTTAACAAAGGATTCAACAACCCACGCTTAACCCTTGATTCTGCTGTGATTATAGATTTTATGTCTGTACTTACGAATATATATTCCATAGAGATTATGGGTTGTTTAAGCCTCAACTGAGCCACAATGGCCAGGTCTGTATGCCACACAGCACCACAGCCCTAATCGTGAGGTAATTAATCCGTGATAAGGATTATGATGTGAACAGGCCCAGAGAGACATCACCAGGAGAGCGGGAGCAGCTTCATTTCCGCGACTCGCTACAGACCAGTGTGCATGCAGTTGATTCATCCAGCGATGCCCATTTCTGCTCCATCATTTCCCCTCTGCATGAATCCAGGGCAATCCTCCCACACGACTGTTTCCAGGCATGGACTGGGTCCAACCCTTTCCCATAAAAGCATCCAGGGATTAGCCCGCTCCGCTTCCCCAAAGGCAAGCGCCTTCATCACACGCTGCCAGGACAGGGCCACCACCCCACCTTTCTTGAGGTTGCCCTCCAAGATTTGCTTGTGGCGGAAGATGAGCACGTAGAAGACGGCCTGGCAGGCAGTGTAGAAGGGGCCGTGGATGGCGACGTCGCAGAAGGCTTTCGACCCCCCCGAGTCTTGGTTGTCGATGTACAGGTGCAGCCAGTTCACCAGCAAGTCGAGGCAGGCCTTCACCGTCCTGCAGTGGGACAGGAGCCCGAGATCACAACCACGCAGGGAGCAACCACTGGCGCGGGGGGAGTCTGTGTCCCACGGCTCCATGGCATCCCCAAGTCCTCACGCCCCGCTGCGTGGTTTAGTGGGCCTCGATTCCCCGCAAAGGAGGCACTCGGAGACACGCTGGAGCAGTCCAGGACAGGCAACCCCGTGGAGACCCAGGGGTTCCCCTAATCCCCCCAGTGTACCAGGTGAGGCCATGTTTCTAGCCCTCTGTGGCAGGTTTTCAAGGGACTTCCTTTTTAAAGGAATCAGCCAGAGGCCCAGCTGGCACCATCGTTATTTGTTTTTCGGCACCAAGCTAAGACCCTTTTATTTAAACAATATTTTAACAATTTTTAATATCACCTATAGGTTTTTAAGTTACAGCCAGGGTGAATCTGAATTTTAATTTGCACTATTTGCATTTATTATTTATTGTATGTAAGGCGTCCCGAGGCTCTTGCGATGGGACGGGATACAAAAATTCTAAATAAATAAAATACTTACACAACCGGGATAAACTTTGCCCGTGCCAAAAAGCTGCCAATGTAGTTCCCAGCAGCCTGCCGGATCACTGCGGGAGTATTGGGGTTCTGGATCTTCTTCCAAAGGTGCTCCACGAAGACTTCTGCAATCCCCTGCGTGGCACAGGACACGGACAACGTTAGTGCCGGGACATCGGCGTCCGAGGGTGTTGCTTGCTAGCACCAACCACCCAGCTTTCACCACCAGTCGATTCACTGTCAGTAACAGCGTATGTTGGGAATACAATCCTCAGAGACCTCCTGTGTGGCTGCCGACTACATTTTCTTACGTGTGGTCATCAAAAGGGGCTCACCGGTGCGGCATATTGTTCATTCAAAGGGGAGGACGGAAGAAAAAGACGTGTGGGACTGGACCCTTTGGTGATGACAGCCACTGTGCCCCACGGCTTCAGGGCTTTGGCGGAGGAAAACAGGCCAGAGAAAGAGGCAAACACGGATTGCGCGTGGCCACCCTTATTTTCAACATCAGCAAAACCACTGCCCTTCCAGGAATACCTTCAGAGAACGTAATAACGAAGGATTGTTTTCACTGCACAGAAGAGAAATTTAGGAGTGTCGTCTTTGCCGGCATTATCACACACACTACACAAATAACACTAACCCTACACTCACCAGCTCTGATCTTGGGCTAAGCTGTTCCTGGGAGTGCGAGTGACTGCGCAGGAGCTCAGTCCTTCCTGCATATGGATGAACTGCTCCCGCCCCCCCCCCCCACTGCGATGTGGCTTGCCCTGCTCTGGATTTTCCATTTTTCCCCTGCTGCTCATTCTTCAAAAGTTGGGACTGACAGTAATTATTTGGTCAGTTATTTTCCACCGATACAACCCTATTCCAATAGTAAATAAAAGGCTCCATTTTCCGTAGCACAGCCTTTGACGGGTTTTTTTACCTCCGTCCGATACCATGAATGCCTCTGATGATTCATTTCCCTTGTTTCGACATCATGCTGATCTGCTGCTTAGCATCATGCGAGTGTCAAGTTTACACACTCCACCGTGTGCCTGGTTGGGGGGGGGGGGGAGAGCAGAGCTTTGTGTTTTGATTAGCCTCAAGTTCGCCACATTATCTGACCTGGTCAAACTGCAGTGAACGTTTAGCCTTGCTTTGGCCGAAACAAGCCAACGTGAAACCAGGGGTTATGAAGTTGGCTTGTTCCAAAGAAATCCTAATAAACTGTAGTTGCATGACATAGGACCATGCCGTGGAGTCGATCTTTATTCCAAGCACAGTGATGATTAAACAAAGAAAGGGGAAAAGAAACCGGTGTGTGTGGCCAGAAGAGTCCAGTTGGCAGACAGAGGTAAAAGGTCAGCAGGGTAAAAGGTCTGCGTTTACCCACCCATTTCAAGCTGCAGAGGTAGAACATGATGTACTGCACGTGACATGAGCCATGGGTCGGTAGAATTAGCTTATCAAATACAGCCACCAGATCGCGATACAAGTTCTTGGTGTTGCCAGTATCAAGCTTTCCTAGGAACAAAAATATTTCTGTTATTATGGCACAGTACTTGAAGGGCTTGCGATTGTGGCAGGGGAAACCCAGCCAGGGCTGATCACCCCCAAGTTTCAGTGGGGTATTTGTGGGGCAGCGGACCCTGGCAGGTGCCCAGGCAAGCTGGGTAGGCTTTGCTGCTCATGCCAAATGAATCCCTGGCCAGTTCCCAGTACCCGTGACGGGGCTGGTGGCCTGGGTTCAGGGGACTGAGCAGCCCACTGTCTGTTCAAGAACTCTTACTACACCCCACGGGTTGTCACGGGGCTTGTTGTTCTCGAGCATAACATGTCCAAACAACTCTGCCTCCCCACTTTCGACTTAGCCCTTCCTCCAGCCCCTTATACCACCACCTCCTAAGGAAGAGTCCCACACACTACGCTAGAAAGCGCAGGCCACCTGCTTCCTCCCAGAGCAGGGGTCCTCAAACTATGACCTGCAGGCCAGATCTGGCCCACCATGCCCATCTATCTGGCCCACCACAGAGGTCTGGGCGTGCACCAAGGCAGCAGCTTGCTCATGCGGAGATCATTTTGGACTCGCACAGAGAAAAGGACCTCCTTGCTCACAAGCCAGTGCCTCGCCGTGCATACCAGTCAGCACCTTTCAGCTGGCCCCCTGTTGAAAAAGTTTGAGGACCCCTGTCCCAGAAAAAGGATTTAAGCAGACCTGGGCAAGGGTTATTACCATTCACATGGCAGATATCCTTAACGTAGGAGAACATGATCATCATCAGAATGTCCAGGCGTTCTGCGATTGGATGAGCCATTATCTCTTTCCTTTTTGCCTTCTCCTCATCTTCATCCTAAAATCAAATCAAATACAACCAGCATGTAGCAGCTTTTCCTCCCACGCACTCTCAGAAAGAGTGAGTGAGTGAGTGAGTGAGTGAACGAACGAACGAACGAACCTCTAGCTACATTTCCAGGTACAAAGCCAAGAAATATTTTCCCCATAACATTAAATCTAATCAACACTTAACAGCTTATGGCTACGAACAAAAAGCTCTAATTTTAATAATTATGTTGTAAAACTTACCATGTCAAAAAGTCCTTCCTCAGTGGTCTCCTCACTCATAGCTTCAGCAGTTTCAATATCTTTTCTGGGGGCACTCACCTGTAGCCAAGATATTGGAGATGTTCAATGTAACCAATAATTCTTTATAAAGGAAATGCTGGTTTATATCAGTGGCACATTACTGAAGCGGGGGGGGGGGTCCCCAGGGCCTCTTTCCACTCCCCACACCCAACCCCCACCACACTCCTGCCGCTGCAGTTGGAATCTGGCAGCCCAACGGCAGCAAAAAAGATTCAGCAGTCTGTAATGGAGGTTTAAATGGGACACAAGCTAAATCTGTTCTTTTAAGTCTGCCACCAAATGCCAGCATCACGGCAGCAGGGGACTGCAACAGAGGCTGGGGAAGGCGTGAGGTCCCCCAATCCACCCACTTTAGATGGCACAGACATTTTCTTTCACTAAAAGGTAACATGAAAAAGTGAAACAACTGAGCCATTTATGAAACATCAACTTCTCACATGCTGTACTTACATCCATCTTTAACAGCCTTTCAATTACCAGCTCCAAAATGTCACGTCTCAGGGTTGGGATATATCCACTGATCCGGAGCACGTTATGGACGTAACATTGCTGTAAAGGGGGTTTCCCACAAAATAAATGGTAAAAACACAACAAAAAAAACTACCACGTCCTATTTAGAACACTGAAAATTCAAGTACTGCTGTATCAAGATGTACATTCAAAATAACTACAAACTTGGCATTTCTGAACAAAGACATTTATTTTGCAGTTTCTCTTATACTGCTTGAGCTCAACAGGATGGATGCCCGAGCTCAGAAGGCAGGCATTTCTTTGCGGGATCCTCTCTCAATATAATACAGTATGTGCTTCCCATGCAAAGCACCTGGTCCAACCCCTAGCATTTCCACCCCATTTTCCCCTCCTCTATTTGCCCCAAAATTCCTCCCCCACAGAGGCGAGCATTTAAAAAACAGAAAAAAAGGGAAATGTCTGCCATGCTTCCAATAGAGACATTTTTTTTTTCTTTTTAAAGCACCCCCCGCCCCACCTCCATGGTGGGTATGCATTTTAGGATGAAAATGGGAGGAAGGAAATCTTAAATCCCTTTTCCCAGAGTGCCAGTCCCAATGAGAATCAGGTCTGTTTGCTTTAACACTGAATACCGCACCTTGAAGAACACTGAGGCATGTTTCATTTAGTCGACACTTCAGGGAAAGAAATCACACCATTTTGAAAGCTAGAACATTTTTGTCGCTCTAGCCTGCTGAATTCTATGATTTTTCCCTCAAGAATAAAAACTGAGAAAGAAACTGTCAAACGCAGATGGCTAGACTGACAAGACACTCTAGGCCTCATACTTTGTGGTTTCACTCTCAATAATGGGATCTGTAAGAGCAAAGCCGCTCAGTTTGATGGGTTGCGGCAGCCACTGCTCCTAGCAAGAGAAGGAAGACTCTGCTCGGGGAAGCAAGGCCTAGGAACCTGAAGAAGACCCTTCCTTCCACGGAAGGCACAGCTGGGAGGGGTGTGCATGTGACAGAGAGGGCATGCATGCGGGTAGCTGCAGGAAGAGCAACAGCTGGCTGTGAGAGACAGACAGCAATGAGTGGGGCGGAGGAAGGTGTGCACGGGAGGGAGGGAGGACTGGTGACCCCATCTGCTGCTGGCGTGTAACTGCTGACCCGCTGCCTACCACTACACACACCTGGGGTAGACAATATTGCAGAAAAATACAGCTTAGAAGCACAGAAGCGTATTCAGTGAGTCATGGCCTCTAGAGCTAACACAAGAACACTCCCTGAACACCCTGATCAAAGTTACAGCATGGCCAAGGTCAAGTTAGCAAAGTACCCTGTTTCCCCAAAAATAAGACCTAAGCAGAAAATAAGCCCTAGAATCATTTTTCGGGATGCTCGTAATATAAGCCCTACCCCAAGAATAAGCCCCAGTTAAGCTCATCAGCCAGACGGATGCATTTAGTACATCTGCTGCAACACAATTCAGGATTTGGAGAGTTAGGATGATGCTGTAGAAGAAGATAATGTGACTGTATTTGAATAAATTTGTATTTTTGTACATGAATAAATGAATAAATGTAGATTGTTATACATGAAAAAAATAAGACATTACTTGAAAATAAGCCTTAATGCATCTTTCAGAGCAAAAATTAATATAAGACTAGGTCTTATTTTTGGGGAAACACGGTAGCATCGTGGTAGACAATGAGGAGGTGGAACATCCAAGAATGTGTAGCTTGCTGATTGGCTATTTAGAAATATACACCCCTTAGAGATTGGAGGGTTTAACTACTAGGGAAAATAAAGGTGGGGCATGCAGCTCCTTTGCATGGTATTAGCCAGCTGCTGCAGCTGATTTTAATATTAATAAACCCCTCTTGAATCAAGAATCATTGGTGTGTTCGCATGTCCCCCGAGACGAATGGGATTGGGATCTTCACTCTCAGGCAATTAAGAGCGAATATTTTCGGAACAGTAATGAGCTAGACTGACCAAAGCTCTGAGCCCCACGTACTGCAGTTTCATAAGCGCCTCAACCTTTCTGACCTTACTGAGACATATGTACTGCTGATCTAAAAAGATCTGAGCAGCATGCATGAACTCCAGATACACCAAAATACATCTTAATTCCTAAAGCATCAATACTTAAATCAACTAAAACAAGCACAAGAGCACCATTGCCATTTTTGTTCTGCTTTTAAACTTGTAGGGAACAAGGGAAATGGCCTGGCACCAGGCCCAGCCAGGACAACACCTTACACTTCACTGGGCAGCTACTCTCCAGGGTCTCAGGAAGAGGATGTTTCCCAGTCTCCCGAATCCTTTATAACTGGATTTGCCAGGTGTTGAACCTGAGACCTTCCGCATGCAACACATACGTTCCTCCACTAAGCAATGGTCCCTCCCCTTCCCCACCCCAGCGCCAGCCACATATCTGAAACGGAGCATTCAGGGATTATCTCAACTGGCCTTGTGTCTTCATAGCAGCATACCAGCTACATTTTGAAGCATGAGTTTTGAAGACAAAATACATCCTTCAATGTAACAGCTGCGACCCATGCGCTTTGGGTTCTGTGCTGAAACCCACAGCAGTGCAATCGCACACTTTCTGTGCACTTAATTTCAGCCGGGTTTTCAAAGGATTGGTTAAGAACAACAAATTCCACTTTAACAGTGCTGATCTCTTACCAGAGTTCTCTCTGATTTATTGATGAATGGGAATTTTTCAGTGAGCACCGGCATAAGAAACTGTGGTGTCCTGCAACATAGAAAATCTAAGTTTTGCAACAATTCAGACTGTAGACATCTTTTGAGCTACAAATAATCATTTAGGCAGCCACGCTTCTTAAAACATATATTTATGATTATGATTAATAACAGCTTTTGTATGCCATCCTATTATACAAGAATCTCAGGACAGCTCACAATATTTAAAAGAACTAAAACAATTTCTAATAAATAAACTGAAACAGAACAAAACAAACAAGAGCGACTGAAGGTTAAAAGTTGTTGATTTTAAAATACCGTTTAAATAAAAAGGTTTTGGCCTGGTGTCAAAAAGAGTATAAGCTTAGCACCAGGCATAGCTCTCTGGGAATGCAGGAAGCCTGGTTGTTCTAAATGCAGTTCAGTTAGCTTGAGTTCATTAGCAGATGGAAAAGAATGCTCATTAACTGAAGGGACATACCTACCCCAATGTTAGGTACTTACAGTGGAACGTATTTTACAATTGTTTGCAATGCTCTGTGGCAGGTTTCAAACGCCTCTGGAACATCTGCAAGAATGAAAAATCAAATATATACATTAACCCAGGAAAAATACTTCAATGATTGATTTTCCTAGTGCACCCTTTCCATTTTTAACACAGGCAGGGTTGCTGCTCTTATCTAATGTATGTGAAGAACGCTGGCAAGCAGCTTAGATGGTTTTCAGAAGGGAATTAAACAAATTCTTGGACAAGGTGTTGATTGGTGGCATCGTAACTGCATGCCTCCTCCAGAATTCACTTCCACAAGAGGTAGTGAAGGCCACCAATCTGGATGGCTGTAATAGGAGCTGGAGATTCGTGGAGGAAAAAGCCATCCAGGGCTACCTGTCCTGCTGGTTCTAGGCTGCCTCCAGGGGTCAGAAGCCGCATGGCCCTGTACACCAGCTGCTGGGAAGCAACGGCAAGAAAGTGCTATGACATCCCATATCACTGGGGACGTCCCAGAGGCAGCTGGCTGGATCCTCTGTGAACAGACCATTGGACTAGGTGACCCTGGGTCTCATCCTGTACAGCTTCTCTTGCATTGTTCGCTTTCAGGCAACAGGAAATCACAAGCATTTGAGAGTAATAGATTTCACCCTTCCCCCTCACAGTCCTAAACCCAGCAGTAATAGTACAACAAATGCACTCGTGTACAAAAATGCTAACTTGTAAAGTTTTAAATGCCACCATTTAAAAAAAAATTAGGAGCATTTTTATTGTACAATGGTTAGGATTTAGGAACTGTGTAAACCTCCTAAAGTAGTTTGGCTATTGGGTGGCATGGAAATGAATCATCGTCATCATGAAGCAATATGCATAAAAGGCATTTTCTCCTGTCAATATCAATTGATAGGAGAATATCAATAGGTATGAAGCTACTACTCACTTTCATCATCGTCTGAATCAGAGATGTCCACATCATTCTCTTGTATGATTATTCGAGCTAGGTAGAAACAGAACTATTTCAATTACTCATTATACATTTTCAAATCAGTTTCAACAAGATCGTGCCACCTTAAGGCCTACTTATCAAATTACAAATAAGACATCCCAGTATTAAACAAGATTCTTATAAATACATCACATTTCTATTTATTTATTTAAAACTGCTCCCTTAGCCCTTCAGGGCTCTCTGGGGAGTAAGCAATCATGTATACACGTTAATACACATCTAAACATGCAGTCAATTTATTCCACTTGCTGCATGATTCAAGTCTCTTTAAGTTTATGGTCTTGATGCATTTTGATTCTTAAAGCAAGGACCAATTTTGAATTGCAGCTAATTTTGTCATCGAGAGCTCACTTCTAACACCATATGGAGAAGAGCCCACCTGACGAACAACACGGGTGCACTTCCGCACTGCAACGTACCTGGAAGTATAACTTCCAGAAGTCCTCCAGTGACGTCAATGGAAGTCCTCCAGTGTCATCATAAACCTATTACAGTACAGTTCTATATCGCTGATTGTGTTAGTTGGGTCCCTAGGCTAACTTTGTTGGACTTACAAACTAACTGGGCTTACGAACGTGCTCTAAGAACGGAACTTGTTCGTATGTGGGGGACTTCCTGTAAATGACAACATGTCATCGGCCTTCACACATCACAGCACTGACATGGAGTAGAGATATGCCTCAGACCTTGATGCTGCGCTGCCCCAGCTCCTCCTACACGGCATGAACAGCAACTTCAGAAGCTTTAACTGTTGGTGTCCCCAGAGCACAGCTCATCATGTTGTCCAGACCAGGGATCATGGTTTACAAGTAACTATGGTTGGTTTCAATACAAACCAACTTCAAGCCATGCATCCTGAAGCTAGGCTCTGGTTTGGACAGCATAAGCCACATCTAAGGGAAAGAAGTAACAGAAGTTTCCAAACTTGTTCTTCTGGCAGTACCAAAGGAGGAAAAAGGATGCCAGGCAAATGCAAGGCATACCTCAGCTGCTTTCTGCTCATGCATTCTATGCTTAGCCTTCCATTAGCGAGACAAGTAAATGTGACCTTGCAGTTCAAACACTTATGTAGCTAATATTTCAGCTGTCCAAAAAAGAAATATAAAATAAACTTTGCAGGCAAGACTCAGAATGGAACCCTGGCCAACCAATCACACAGGATAAATGCAAGGCTGGGGGAAAACTCACGTGGGACAAAGTGGGAGACAAGCATTGCGAGACATGGCCTTAGGTAGATGGTCTGTGCAGACACCAAGTTGCCCAGAAAAGACAAGTATTCTTCTACCACTGCTTGGCTTCTTCTCAGCCACGGCACCTTCTGCAGGATTAGGTACAGACATCAGGAAATGTGCCGTGCAGACCTAACCAAAACCCATCAGAACATCCAATACAAGTCACAGATTCTTACCAGTAAGATGTTGACAAGTTGTTCAAAGTCCTTGGTCAACTGTGTAACAGAAGCCCGGAATTCATGCAGCCAGTTAATAATCTGATCATCCTTAAAACACAACCAATTTTGCTTTAACAGCTGAACAATGTAAAATGTCAACAATTACTTATTTGTCCATTAAAAATAAGTAAGTAAGTAGACAGTCAACAGAAGGCAGGTTTCTACATTTTACTGCTTAGTATTGAGCTGAGTACTGTAAAACTACCTGGATTATTTCAAGTTTTGGTCAGATAATGATCAGAACCAGTATTGGTTACTAGTTACAGTACACAATACACAAAACCTGAAATGGATATGCATTTGTTCGTTCTTAAGTTTAATAAATCTGTGATTGTTGGAAAACACCTTACTTTTATGTCTGGATCCAACAGCTGATGCTTCAACAAATCAAAGTCAGTTGTTTCGCCCTAAGAAAGAAAAGGAACAAATTGTTTTCTAATGAGTCATATAACCTCACACTGAGAGCTTATTCTATCACTATTAAACATACCTATAAAGACCTCCCCACCACACCCTAACTGTTCATACTCAAGGATGAGCAGTGATCTTTAAAGAAGCCCAATTTCTATCTTCTTCATGGAATTATTTGAGCATTACCCAAGTACTTTCTCGGAAGTTATTTATTTATTTATTTATTTATTTATTTATATCCTGCCTTTTTCCTGCAAAGGGCTCAAGGCAGCTTACATCTCCTCCTCCATCTTCTTTTTCAGTATCTTTTTCATTTCAACTTCATTAAAAATTAAACTCTTTGAATACAGCCAAGAAATACTACCAATATGACCTATACTTTTCTCTCTGAAAGCACCACATTGTTAACCTTACCTTTTTGTATTTCTGCAGGATCTCGTCCAATGCCCCACCAAAACGGACTGTTTTCTTTGGTGGCGATCTTAGAAATTCATCTGCAGCCAGCATGTCAGAATTTCTAAAGGAATCAAAGTATGAGATTGAACTCACTGGCTGCAATTAATTTAAAATGATGGTGAATCCTGATTAACCATGAATGAACAGCATGCCGGTGCATATATTCCATTTGCTCCTACTTCATTTTTCCTAATAAAATGAGTGAATAAACTAACACAGAAATTAATATGTTACTATGAGATTCCTGGTTTTTTGTGCCCTTTACAAGCCAGAATAATGAAACCAAGTATGTTCTTGGCATAAGAATCTTGATTTGCTTGAACATGACAAATGCCACAGTAAGCTTTTGTTTCCAGGTTATTTTACCAGTGTGTACTAATGGGAGGAGCTAAATGTACCAAAGCTCAGCCTGTTCATGATATGAATCCTGGCTTATTCTTGTGAACACAGCCAATAAATAAGCACCTTAAAGCTACATATCCCCTTTACTTTCAGCTCTCTTAAGAGTAAACCGCAATGTAACCTCACTTTTCCCACCACACCATAATTGAACATTTTCTTTTTCATTAAATTAGCTTTCACTGAATGCATCTATGCAGTCTTGTTAACAAATGAAATGCTAGTTTATCCAAATAAATCTAACAACTCCCCATTGATGAAAGTATGCAGAAATGTATTTACTGTTGTTGAAACCCACTCACAGAGGGTTCCAGACACCCACACAGAAATAAAGGACCACAGAGATCAGAACATACAAATGTGATCATGATGGCTCAGAAGAGGAATTTCAAAAGTGGATCCTAAAGAACCAAGCGGAGAACAGAACGAACACAGAAACTGGGGGCCAAGGTATGGCAAAAGGCCATGGAAAGCTAGAGAAACAGTTGCAGCAGGAAAAACTATTTCTCTGTGATCAACACTACTTTAGTATTACACCACTTCATATTAAGGACCCCCAGTGGTTCACATACAAGCACTGAAGGCACATCTAAAATGCCCCACACAAGCACTTCTAAAGACAGCGTCAATTAGCAGAAGCATGTTTACAAGACACGATTAACCACCCCTGAAAAACCGCGACACAGCAGAACCACCGAAAAAGCAGCAAGCATCCCCGTTGCGCCACGCAACCCACCCACGGGCCGGGTGGCCGGCCGCACGCCCGTTTCCAGCCCGGCCCACCTCACAGGGCTGTGGCGGGGATAAAAGGGGAAGGGGCGCGCGGCGCGGTGGGGGCGAGGCTGGTCCCCGCTCAGCCATGAGGCTCCCTGGGCGCCTCGGGGCTGGTCCTCGCCCTTCGGCCTAGCCTACCTCACAGGGCTGTCGTACGCTGAAGGCGGGCGCGCGGGGCCGGCCAGGGACGCCACCCGGGGGCTCCCGCCGCGCGAGGGAAAGCACGGGCCCCGCACCCACCTTCCGTGGCAGCCGCCGCCGCCGCCGCCCTCCCCTCCAGGGGGGCCTTCCCACGAACCGCCGCTGCGCTTCAGGGCCTCCGCCCGCCGCGCAGCCCACATGGCCGCGCTCCCTCCGGGCCTCCCGCAACCGACGCCGCCGCCGCCTCCCCCGGGCCGTCCATGCTGCTCAGGCACGCAGCGAAGCGAAGCGCAGCGAAGCGACACGACCCCGCTCGCTCCGGCCGCCGGCACGCGCAGCTCCAGCGAGGCCACCGCCCGGAAGCGAACCGTCACTTCCGCCCTGCTCAAGAGTTCAGGGCAGCGGTCCCGCCGGCGACGCCGCTGCACCAACAGCTCCGGTGCCCAATCGGACGTGTGCGTGGGGACTTCAGCCGGGGTTCCTGCCCCGCTACGGATGTGAGCACCCCATGCAGCGGGGTGGCGAGCGTAGGACTGCGACTTCAGTGATTCGGCTTCTAGTCCTCACTCAGCTATGAAGTTCACCGGGGACCTTGGCGTAGCCCCCCCTCTCCTCGCAACCCACCTCGCAGGGTTGTTGTGAAGACCAAGTGGGGGCGCATGCGGAAGACTGATCCAGGCCGCCTTAATATGAAGTGAGCACCACTGAACACAGTGGGAATGCCTATATTCATTACTGTATAAACATACAGAAGAATGCTCTGCCAATGTGTGAGTTTTTCAACCACTTCCACTATTCCTAGCAACATCAACAATTAATTTGGACCAATACCTGGTTTTAACAACCCTACCTGATTATTAGAAGGGGAACTGAAGGGGTGTCATGTACAACAACAGTGGGCAGACTTCAAATTTCCAAGATCTACTTTGGTTTGGGTTTTGCTTTTTACTAAAAACTTAAGAATACATATACTTAAATGCTTTTTTACATTTATGTTTTAATCATTGTTATCATTGCTTAAAAGAACAACAGTAACAAAACAGTTGAAGGACATCAAAATTTGAAAGACTGGCCATTTAGCACATACTTCTATACAATATAACACCATAACACCATAAAACTGGTTTGGATCCAAACTGTTCATTGAAATCCATGGGACTAGCTAAGTCATGACTTAAGGCAAATTGACTTCAGTGGGATGCAAGCTCAACTAACTGCAGCCAACCCACTGGGTTCAACAGTCCTTTGTAAACCTCTTTTACAAAAGTATCTTTAAAAGGATTCATACAATAAGGCATGTTACTGTAAGGACTTCTCGACATTGACCACAAGGTGCCAAGAGAATTAGTCGTCTGACTATTTCTACATTTAGCTTTAATCATTTGTATATATTAAGTGTTTTCAGAATTAATGCCCTCATTTTATTGTTAGTTTAAGAATGTAAACCCTGTCATCCAAAAGCTATTTTTTAATCCAAACAGACTATAAATCTGTTTTATGTTGTTTAAGATCTGAATAGTGCAGTTTCCAGCAGAAATGGAAAGCATACCTATTTGGGAAAGGTATGGCTTCATTACACAGTGCAGAGTCCACAGAATCAAGATACCATTCTGCGCAACAAGTCATTTCTATGGTAATTCCCCAGCATCAGCATGATGTTTGCATTTGTTTTCCACTGTAAGTCACAGTACCAGCTTTCAATGTATTCTGCAAAGAGAAATAAGAATACAATCTTTTTAAAAATCTGAAACATCATTTTCCACTGGGAAATTATCTTTATGCAATCAACAAAATATGTGGCAAATGCTGTTCAACGCACTTCGAGTATAATTCAGGCAAGAAACATTCTCAGAGTTAACTTTATTACTATTTGCATTTTCTTCTAAATGACCAGTCCTTTCAGCTTTTGGGGTTTTTTTTAATCTTATAGTACTCACATTGATGGTCTTCCAGACCCTCTGAAAACTAACCCTCCCATGGATGCTGCTGTTTCCGTTCAAACCAGTTGAAAAGGTTGGGCTTATCATATTGCAGTTCTTTGGTTAAACGTCGCCAGGACAAACGATGCAACGCTCCTGCTCTTCTCTTCCAGTGTGGCCTGTGGCCATTCTTGCATATGAAAGCTTCCATACTTGCTTTACCAGAACTGCCAGAAATTTGGGACTGCGTTGCCCATGCTGGATGGCGCTGACAGAAGCTGCACTCCTACACATTTCTAAGGTAGCAGGTTGGGGAACACATCTTCTGTACTCACTAAAAGCTAAGCTACCTTCTTCAGCAGCAATTTCCAAGTTACTTTCAAGAGCACCCTTGTGAAAAACATTTAAGTGATTCTAGACGTTACCAAGGAATGAATGTCTGGAGCCACTGGAGACATTAAAAAAATACCTGGACAACCACCTGAGTGGGATGGTGTGACGTGGTGTCCTGCAACAGCAGGGGGTTGGACTTGATGGCCTTCATGGCCCCTTCCAACTCTTTCTATTCTATGGTTCTGATTCTATGAATAACAGTGACCAGGCAAGGCTAGTAAAAAGTACAGAATCGATGCTTCAGCAGAGATAGCATGTCTGTAGAATTACCTCCCATGCAGAGATGTGCCAGAACCTTTCTGGGTTCGTTTTCAGGAGATGGCTGAAAATGTTTTAATTTCAATGTTAATTTTATTCTTCCAATTGATGCATTGTTGTTATATTTAGCTGCTGGTTTTTAACTGCCTACTTTTATTGTGGTTTTATTATGAGTCTTAATTGTGTTATGTTTGTTTTACTGCTGACAATGTATTTTTAATCCTGTAAATGGCAACCAATATTATTACATTGTATTTACATCTCCGCTTTTTTCCTTTTGTGAGGAACCCTGGGTGGCTAGCATAGCTTCATTTATTCTCACAACAGAAGCCATGTGAGGTTGGTTGGACTCAGAGTCTGTGGCTGGCTCAAAGTCGCCCAGGGAACTTCATGGCAGAGTTGACTCCGGCACCAAGATCACCCAGGTCCCCAGTCCAACACTCTAAGCATCACAGCACAGTAACTCGGCAACCTATACCTACCTTCAAATAAATGTAAGAGAGGCACTGTGATGGTCAGCAGAGATATTAATTCAAATGACATGCTGTCCGTGTGGCTGCAGCAAGACCATGAGGTCAGAGCAATCCTGAAATCCCCAACTCAGCCACAAAGCTCTCCAAACTGCCCATGAGCCAGTACATACACAGACTGGTCCCAGACAACACGATGACCTTTATTCAAAGGCTGAATATGGGCTGTGATTGAATTGCGCACTGTTCTTGAAATGAGCGCTATGGTGCTGCCTGAACCCAAGAGCTCACACCCGAAGTTCACAACCTAAATGCAAAGCATGGCTTCTCTCCATGGTGCTGGCAGTCAGCAAACCATAGTTAGTTGGCTCAGCTGGGTTCCGACAGAAGCCATGCTCAAGAGCGCAGGGCAGGTCGTCAGGGGCTCGTGGATTCCCCTTGACATGCGGGTCAGCCTGTCCGCACCCTCCGATTCCGAGCCTCGGCGCTCGCTGCCGCGAAGAAAAGCCGCGGGTTGCGCTTGGAGCCTGAACGGCGGCTTATCCACCCGGGCGACCTGCACGCGCTAACCCGCCGTTCCAACGAACGCCGCCCCCGGCCTGCCGCGCAGCGCTGCTGGAAGCGGGCGCCCCCGGGGAGCGGCGGCGGCGGCAGGCGCGGCGCCTCAGGCGGGCGCGGGCTCCGGCGCGGGCGGGC